GGTAATCAATTAGTGAACATAGACATCAACATTTAAAGGTAAGACATATCAAGTTATGGATCAAATAATCACATCTTTCAAGATTAAATGATGGTTAACCGAGTTCTCATAATCCAGGTTTAAATTAATTATATTATATTTAAATCTCAAAACAAAAATAGGGTAGCTTACAAGGTGGCCGGTGTGAGCACTGACATTCCCACCTTCATGATCACTGTAATGAATAATTTCTTAAAACTCATATAGCTTCGATTTGTAATAACATATCATGTATGGTCCTAGGAAGAGAAATTTATACAAACCTATGAATGGTGACATAAAGCCTCATAAGCTCGTGCATCTTGGGATCGTTAAAGCCGACATATCAAGTTATGGATCAAATAATCACATCTTTCAAGAGTAAATGATGGTTTACCGAGTTCTCATAATCCAGGTTTAAATTAATTATATGATATTTAAATCTCAAAACAAAAATAGGGTAGCTTACAAGGTGGCCGGTGTGAGCACTGACATTCCCACCTTCATGATCACTGTAACGAATAATTTCTTAAAACTCATATAGCTTCAATTTGTAATAACATATCATGTATGGTCCTAGGAAGAGAAATTTATACAAACCTATGAATGGTGACATAAAGCCTCATAAGCTCGTGCATCTTGGGATCGTTAAAGCCCAACAAGTGTGAAAAATTTGCACCATAATCCAGGGAGTCATCAACAGGTATTACTTTTCCATCCTTAAAAATTCTTCAGGAAAAAAAAAGCAATGAATTAATCCCAATGCTATTTAAGACAAATCAAATATAAATATTACATAGGGACTAGAAAAGACAGATATGATATCCATTGGTGTCAAAAGGCGGGTGGCTGCAGATCACATGGAGAAAAGCATGCCATCACTCATCAGTTAGTGGACAACGTCGTACATAAGACACAACTTTTTAACATTTTTAGAAAAAGGTTTACACATTAAGATTAAGTGCTGTTCTTAAACATGTATAAATCAGTCGGTTAAACATGATTTTTCGTGGAAAGAACACAAGGTCAAACATTTAACTATAAGTTAGGTGTAATATGCTTTACCAACCTCCGGTAAACATAAGAAGCTACTACTGGCAGTTGTGCAATCAAGCTAAGTGAATCCTCAAAAGTTGGCTCCCAGTACCTGAAAATAACTCAGGTTAAGAAGCTTTAAGAAACCTAAAAACTAATGGAAGACTGAGTATCAAGATCACAAAAGTACAAACATATTTACTTTGACTTATGTATCCCCTTATCGTATGCCTTCTGGAATTCACTCTGAACCTGAAAACAGAATTAAATGATTAGAAACTGTTTGCATTGCATCTACTGGACATACTCAGAAAAGCTGGTAAATGAGTCCAGCCACCCTCTTAATGCACTATTCAGGTATTTTATTTATGTGGACTAGATTTCATTTTCCTAGAGAGAAATATAATTAATAAAAGTTTTATTATAAAACCAAAAGAAACACTGAATCTGACTAATGCTCCAACAAAGAATATTCAATTGAAAAATTTAGCCTCCTTAACTCTGGATCAACAAGAATGAAACTGAATGACGATACACGTTTTGTACCACATAAGAAGTAGCATGTATCAACCTTTGCCTTTCTGGTAACTTATTGCACTAGAAAAACTTACAAAGTAAACTCAGGTCAATTAAGTCTTTATCTAAAAAAGAAATTGGGAAAAACTTACAACTTAAATAAACTCACATTAAACATATTAGGGGTGCTGATAATCAAAATTTGTAATATAAAATAAGCCAGGCTAAAGAGGGCAATAATAAGAAACATCTGCGTACATGATAACCAATGATGTATTATGGATATAAGATATCTTCAAGTTATTCTCGTGTAAATGCATCCTTAGCTATGGATAAGGTTAAAAGATTATGTCCCACTATCTTCCATTGCATATGCACCGTTAAGCCAGAGAGTTCTGGTAAAGACAATTTGGGTAGCCAACCAAAAAGTGCAAATCTAAATGCATAAACACAACACACCAAATGAATTCGACAAGACAATGATTATGCCAAAAAGAAAATGTAGAATAACTAATATATGAGTATGAAAAGCAATGATAAGCAGCCCATTTACCAACCTGGAGGGCCATAACACCGGTGGTAAACTGAGTCATTGGATGTGCTGTAATAGGCAGAGCATCAATGGCCTTATACACATAATCTGCAACCATGAATGACAGCTATTTGATGAGCAATCTTGCATTAATGACCATAAGAGTGTAAAACTTGAGTGACTGCTAAAAGAAGCACTTCAATCAAACCTTATGCACTTAACTTTCTAGATTCAAATGTTTAAGTGAAACAAACATCTGCAGTTGGTAGCATTCTCACATATGACAACTTTTTAAGTAACCAGTTTAAGCCATCATAACTATTTAGTCTTTCCTAACAAAATATATAATATAATCCTGACTATTATTCAGTTAATCAAATATGGGCAGTGAAATTGATAAATATAAGCTACAGCACCTGGAACTACGGCACGGCTCCTCAATTCCTCCGATAATGCATCAACTTGCTCTTTGCTTGGTACCTATTGCATATAGGCAAGGCGAAAGGTGTGTTTAATGTTAGGATAAACCAAAAACACTACATACAAAGCAAATAAATAAATACTACATGTTATGGGCAACTTATATTTTGTCCAAATTTGAGCTGACATTAAAAATGACTGGCAGATGATTCTACATCTTCCAGAAGGTCCATATGAAGTAACAGTTATCTTGTATGGCTACTCACTACATTAAATCGACACTTTGTTTCCTTTTAAGAGTGCATTGTCAAAAGATCTTGTAATGAAATATGACTAAAGACCCATACCTTTCCTGTTAAAAGTAGCCACAGAAGACCCTCAGGCAAAGGTTCCCCACCAGGCTTTGCACCTGGTAATACTTTCTGGCATTCTGGAATTGACAATCCCCTGAAGCGAATCCCCTGCAAAAAAACAGCCAAGATATCACATGTATCAACCTTTGCCTTTCTGGTAACTTATTGCGCTAGAAAAACTTACAAAGTAAACTCAGGTCAATTAAGTCTTTATCTAAAAAAGAAATTGGGAAAAACTTACAACTTAAATAAACTGACATTAAACATATTAGGGGTGCTGATAATCAAAATTTGTAATATAAAATAAGCCAGGCTAAAGAGGGTAATAATAAGAAACATCTGCATACATGATAACCAATGATGTATTATGGATATAAAATATCTTCAAGTTATTCTCGTGTAAATGCATCCTTAGCTATGGGTAAGGTTAAAAGATTATGTCCCACTATCTTCCATTGCATATGCACCGTTAAGCCAGAGAGTTCTGGTAAAGACAATTTGGGTAGCCAACCAAAAAGTGCAAATCTAAATGCATAAACACAACACACCAAATGAATTCGACAAGACAATGATTATGCCAAAAAGAAAATGTAGAATAACTAATATATGAGTATGAAAAGCAATGATAAGCAGCCCATTTACCAACCTGGAGGGCCATAACACCGGTGGTAAACTGAGTCATTGGATGTGCTGTAATAGGCAGAGCATCAATGGCCTTATACACATAATCTGCAACCATGAATGACAGCTATTTGATGAGCAATCTTGCATTAATGACCATAAGAGTGTAAAACTTGAGTGACTGCTAAAAGAAGCACTTCAATCAAACGTTATGCACTTAACTTTCTAGATTCAAATGTTTAAGTGAAACAAACATCTGCAGTTGGTAGCATTCTCACATATGACAACTTTTTAAGTACCCAGTTTAAGCCATCATAACTATTTAGTCTTTCCTAACAAAATATATAATATAATCCTGACTATTATTCAGTTGATCAAATATGGGCAGTGAAATTGATAAATATAAGCTACAGCACCTGGAACTACGGCACGGCTCCTCAATTCCTCCGATAATGCATCAACTTGCTCTTTGCTTGGTACCTATTGCACATAGGCAAGGCAAAAGGTGTGTTTAATATTAGGATAAACCAAAAACACTACATACAAAGCAAATAAATAAATACTACATGTTATGGGCAACTTATATTTTGTCCAAATTTGAGCTGACATTAAAAATGACTGGCAGATGATTCTACATCTTCCAGAAGGTCCATATGAAGTAACAGTTATCTTGTATGGCTGCTCACTACATTAAATCGACACTTTGTTTCCTTTTAAGAGTGCATTGTCAAAACATCTTGTAATGAAATATGACTAAAGAGCCATACCTTTCCTGTTAAAAGTAGCCACAGAAGACCCTCAGGCAAAGGTTCCCCACCAGGCTTTGCACCTGGTAATACTTTCTGGCATTCTGGAATTGACAAACCCCTGAAGCGAATCCCCTGCAAAAAAACAGCCAAGATATCATATTATATGACCGTATGTTTGTCGACTAATTGTTAGAATTATGAAAGAAACTAGTTCATAATAATTCACAAAGTTTCAAGACTGCATAATTAAAATGTATACCTCATCTGGGTCAAGTAAGGAAGTTTCCCACAGCAACCCTGTCATTCCTCTCATTCCACCAAGAACCTATGCAGTAAAAAGTGAATCCAAAATGAATTACGCACTATGATCACATATTTAGTTCAAAGTTGCAGTTTTACTCTTTCTAAAAAGAAGAAGAACAAATATCAGATGAAGGTTCGCTATTTTTCAAGTACTACAAACATTAACTTCTTCCATTGATAACAAAGAGGCACATCTTACACAAAGAAAAAAGAGAAAGATACTTTACCATATCAACAGTGATATTGCCCAGTTGAACTTTTCCATATTCTGCCTTGATTTTCTTCAGACGTTCCTGTAACCAAAAAATATAGGTGTGATAATACACTAAACAAACTTATTAACATATTCAATGTTTAAATATAAGACTTCTTTATACACAAAACGAACAGATTCACCCATCCATTATACCCAGTCATCTCAACAAACAAAGAATGCACCAAAAGGAAGTATCTCAACTCATATAGACATGGTTGAATTATGTTGCACTAATAGAACACCAAAGCAACACTCAATATCAAGAATACAACCTATCGATCTTCGTGCATGAGGACAAACAAAGAATGCACCAAAAGGAAGTATCTCAACTCATATAGACATGGTTGAATTATGTTGCACTAATAGAACACCAAAGCAATACTCAATATCAAGAATACAACCTATCGATCTTCGTGCATGAGTAACAAAATATGAAAAAATTAAGTTGATGGTGTAAGTGAATGCTATCATGACTAACAGAAGAAACCTGTTGTTCTGGAATCAATTCCTTCAAGTGAGAACGAAGGTCCTGCATGGCAACAATGATGGTCATGAGGAAGCATTACCGTAGAGTAAACTGTAATTTACATAAAATGACCCTCATGATATGAGAATTTACTGGCCCCGACTTGCACGTGGTAATAAAATTGCATTGATCAATAAAATATTTCTTCATTTGTATGCCAAAACGACTTTTGTCATTTCCCCAAGTGCATAACAAATTTAATCAGAAATAATGGTACGACCTATGAACTATGAGGAGAGAGAGAGAGAGAAGAAGAAGAAGACGAACTCACAAGATCTGTGGAGGTCTGCGTTTGAAGCCATCTGACGGAATCTCTGAGATTCGACTGTTGGCCCTGCAGGAAACAATGAATCGAAATAATCAGAGTCGGTTCCAAAGAAAGAAAGAAGCAATTTTCCGGTGAATCTGAGAATCATATAAAAGCAAAACGATATCAATCTCTTTCGCTCTGTGTTTCGGAAAAAGAAAAAGGAAAAACAACTTACAAGACGAGGACGGAGCTTGGAAAGCGCAGTGACACTCCTGAAGAACACCATCGGTGACAGCAGCCGCTATCAGGTATCTGCACCGCACCCACCCAATTTACGTATGAAAATTATTACACAAAATACAAAGAAAGCAATTTAAACGGCAGAAAAGCCAAAGCCAAAGGGCAAGGAGGTGTTGGGTGAGAATGAAGAAGAGGGATTCACAATTCCAATTAAACCGGGGGGCAGAAAAGGAACTTACGGAGTCAAAGTCAGAGAAATGTGCCGTGAACAAGTATTGGAATTTTCGAGTACCAAACGTGATTTGGCTCCAACCACCACCAAAATCAAACCGACTAATAATAATTAATATAAAAACGCATTGGGCGCAGTAAGTCGTTTACCTTTCAAAGCCGATTTCATTTCATCCTATTTTACATATCTATTTTATTTATTTATATTATATATTTAAATTCATACGTATAGCATGAGAGAGTTTCAGTTGAGGGCTCACCACACATTGTATTTCAATGATCTAAACCGTCTAATTTTTAAATATTCTCTCAAAGATTATTTCTGCAAAAACTCACTTGAATCAGAAACTATTTGACTACTCAATTAAATGGTTGTTATTATAGTCTTTTCTTGAAGCACCGTGTTTGTTTATTTTATTAATCCCAACTAGATGCGTTAACATTTTTCGATTTGCATTAATAAATGAAGAATTGAAAAATAAGACGATTTGGATTATTAAAAAGTGTTGAGGACCTTAAAGGGTGAGGGATCCCTCTCTCTAACTTGACATTTTTGGGTTTGGTTACTTTTCGTACTAGATAAAGTTGTAATGGCATTTGTAGAAAAATAGAATGGAGGGCTGGATCTTCCAACCCAACTACCGAAAACATGCATGGCATTTTGGCAAAGCCATTTCGAGTGCTTAGCTATCTATCAACATCACCACTTCCACCTTCCACCTAGCAACCGTATCTGATGCCTGCTGCTGGTCTTGTTGGCACCATTCAAACCCATCAGCCACCCTATGTCATTTTATACTTCCAATTGTTTTATGATAAATACTTTTAAATACCTTTTCTATTCTTATTGGCTGTCAAAAGCTTAAGCCCATATTGATCCATGTGCTTTTTATTGGTTTTTTTTTTCTTTGCTAAAATTCCCCACATGTTCTTGCCTGTTGGAAGAAAATTAAACAAGGGGGAGCTTGAGATTCAGGCCCAATAGAGGGGCTGAAATAGTAGAAGACCCAACCCTATAGATTCAAGCCCATTTGCTGCAATGATGTTCCTTCAAGCTGCTTCAGTGTTTTATCACCGAGTTAAGAGTTCCATTGTAGTACGAGTACTACAGTACTACTGCACTGCACTACACCGCAAATCAAATTTGTACTACGTCTTAGAAGATGTGTACTAATGTACTTTGCATCAGAAATATAACTTTTATATTATGTTCATACTGTGTATATAAAACACAACAGAAATGAGGTTGCAGCAGCACTACCTCCCTCTACTGCTAAACTAGTTATAGTTGTAGTTTAATGGTGTTATTGAACTATCAAACACAGCCTCCTCTGTCTCTCTATCTATGTTAAGAGTAAGCGTTGCTGTCTCTGTGTGTTAGTTATATATGATATCTTTCATATGTTACTTTAGTCTGTTTTTCCTTTGTTAATTTATAAGCAGGGGCCATGTATATACAAAAATGGGGTGGCCATTTTTCATATCTTGGCACCAAAGTCACCACCCGACTATTGTTACCATCTTCAATTCGTCCTCCAACAAGTCTGTTATCTTTATATGCAGGCTATGACTCTGAGAATATGTGACAAAATGAACTACAATAAGACATAGTGCATATAAAGATAACAGACTTGTTTGGGGACGAGTTGAAGATTTCAACAGTCGGGTGGTAACTTTGGTGCCAGGGTATAAACAATGCTCACCTCAATTTTGTTTTCTTTGCATATAGACTGCATATAATTAACAAAATAAAGAAGACTGTTATACACTGAATTTCAATAGAAAAGTGGCCGAGTGGTTTGCAATCTGAGATGAGATGGTATATAATCCAGTGCAACTGCATTTTGGAGTGGCGCTCACTTGAAGGGAATTTGGTGGTAGAAATTAAATCAAAAGCTCTGATGTAACAGCAGATGACGTCGTTGATTGTAATCCACACCGGATGTCGAACTGGTCAATTGCTATATGTGGTGGTGTTGCTGCTCTCGGCAATCCACGTGTGTTCTTGTAATTTGCCTTCATTTTCCAATTGTAACTTTGTTCCTCCTGCGTATTGAGAAAATAATAATAATAAATCTTTTTAGTGAAAAAGTAAATTCCGATCACAAAAACAACTCTGTTGTAATTAGCATCACAATATTGTAGAAACATGAACTTAATACACTCAAAAATGATTTAATAATCAACTGATGCCATTTTCCCTGGAAAATGATTTCGGCATTTTACCTCTCACACTCCTATAAGCACCAACTTACAGACAGGCAAGAGTCCGATGATATGGGACTACAAGCAAAGCAAAGCAATAACACTAAACATAGATTTGATACAGATTGGAAAGCACACAAAGACGCTGCTGCTTCAACAAGCCAAGATACGTCACAGCCAGCCCAAATCTGTCAACGGACACGCTGCGGAGGGCAAGGGAGATCATCCTTGTTTAGAATGCCAATCAAAGAGGATGGGAGCATGTCGACCCAAACAAATGAGCGTGATTATAACATCGGACACACTATATCTTCTTCTGTGTTTGTTTTTGTCTTGTTGGGGTCTTCTATGTGGGATTTCCAAGGATGCATGGGTAAGTCTCTCTCTTGGAATTATTTCACATACTTCTGAATTGGATAAGAGCATGTCTAATGCAAGGGAAGGGGGAAGGGCGTTAGGTGTTGTTTTAGCCCCTCAAATTGGTACTATTCACAAAATTTATCTTTTTAAATTTTTTGTGGTTCTAGTGGTGAGGGATTAGGGTTACAACTCAAAACTTGTTATTTTAATTTATTATTAATTTATTGATGATAAAAATCAAAATCAAAGCCTAAGAAAAGTAACACATTATTGAATTTTTGGAAATGTGAAAAACAACTAGGGAGGAGGATTGAACCAATAGTTATGAGGGAAAAAAGGGACCAGCAACTAACTGTTGGACCATTGCATTTGATAGCGCCACATGACAGCTCCTCAATGGTTGTTGAAGTCAGCTTTTACTGCTCTTATTTTTTTTATTAAAAAAAATAAAAAGACAATGTGATCCTTATCTTGCCCGGGCCAGCAGGTGGGCAAAACCAGTCCCTCATCTTGCCTTTAAGAGCAACTCCACTCATTTGTCCTTAGCCATGGCAAGGGGGGAGCTAGGGCAGCCACTATTCACGTGAATAATAGTTGCCCTTGCAAATAATATTTTCTGTTTCCACACGTTGCCATGACAAATGACAATTACTATTCATTTTTTTAAATTTTTTTCACAACTTTTTTTACCTCAATAATTAATTTGGATAATATTTTCGGATAAGATTTTCGGTTTCCTATGTGTCAATACTATTCATATCTCATAATCGGATAAAATTTTCAATTTCAAATTTCAGATAAATTTTTTTTAAAAAAAGGCTGGTATTTATAGAAAAAAATTCATTAATTTTTGGGAATTTTATAAAAAAAAATTCAGAATTTTTTCCAGTATTTTATTGCAAAAAAATTGGTTGTCGTTGGATTGGAGGAAAAAATCAGATCGGAGAGCACAGACGACGTCACGTGGTAACAGAAAAAAAAAAATCAAATGAGTGGGCTGACGCCAGCCTGACGTCAGCACCAGCCTGCGTTTTGGACCTCATGCTGAACTAGCCTTCGAGCCAACCCGAGTTGCGTGGGACCCACTCCAGCCCGTGCTTGGGCTCACCGCTGGAAACCAATTTTTGCAAAAAAAACTCCCCCAGCCCGAGGCAAGGGGGCCTCGGTGGAACTGCTCTAACGCAAACACATGCATTAGAAAGTGTTCCCCCCCACCCCCCTCTCCTCAATTTGAGGTCAAATCTGGACCTAGACCAGGCCAGATAAGTCTCATTCGACATGCTTTAATGTTCCATCTTTTTCGTTAACAGAATTAGGGGTTTATTGCATCAACACTTTTAGGGATTTTTGTAGAAATGTCACCTGAACTTATACCTCAATTTCAATTTGTCACCTTAAAGAAAAATTTCAGAGAAATGTCATCTTAATTTTTTTTAAAACCCATGATTTGTCATCTGACTTTAACATCATCCCATTTTCCATCCATTTTTAAGGGTATTTTAGTTTTTCCATTATGAAGGAAAAAAATAAAGAGAAAAAAGAGATCTCTCTCTCCGTTTCTCCCCCACCCCAACTGCACCCGCCCCCAAAACACATCGTGCAAGAGACCTCCCTTCCCCCTCTTCTCTGAGCATGATAAGGAACCCATATTCCCACATATATAAGCCCACCCATGGAAAATTTTATAAGCTACGTAACCCATATACTCCCACAAATAAAGTTGAAGCTACTTATTACATTTTATTCAACAAAGACAAGGATGAACTTGTTTGGTTTCTAATTTCTCTAGACCAATTAAAGAATCTATTATAATATAGAAGAAGCTAGATAAATAAAAAATTAGCCCATCCTTATATAAATTCTTGGTTTCGCTCTTGTTTGGTTGGGCTGAGGGAATTTGTGTGTGGACGATAGGAATTCCATTGTAGAGAGAGAAGGAGGAAAGGGGGAATGGATTTCAAGGTAGGTGGCGTTGGTTGGAGCCCCTGGTGGCGCGTAGGGGATGGGGGAAGGTGAGAATTTTTTTTTCTTCAATTTTCATTGTTTAAAAGTATACAACTTTTATTTATTTATATAATAATGATTCTTTCCCTTTTTAAAATACCCTTGAAAATGAAAAGACTAAAATACCCTTAAAATGAATGGAAAATTGGATGGTGTTAAAGTCAAATGACAAAGCATGGAATTTGAAAAATTAAGGTAAGATTTTTCTTAAATTTTTCTTTAAGGTGACAAATTGAAACTAAAATATAAGTTCAAGTGACATTTCTACAAAAATCTCATACTTTACTTCGGCTTTCAGACATAGAAAATTGTCATCTTCAGTGTCTATCCAAGGACATAGAAAAATTTGTGGGAAACATGAAAGTTTAAACCAAGTAATATGCCCACGCCCTTACATCCGAATTCGAATTCCCCCATCCCCCCAGTATATATTAGGGATATCTTGTGTTAGCTTGCACTATAGTACGAGTATTTCCTTGCATTGCAAATCAATTTGTACTACATCTTAAAATATGTGTATTAGGACTCATTTGATACGTTGGACAATATTGACTAATTTATGTCGGATAGTATTAATTTGTTGCGGAGAGTACTAATTGTTTATTCATAATATTATAAGGCGTTTGATGTTGTTTCGGATAAATAGTTTGACTATATTATAATGTGTTTGGTGCTCTATTCAAAAAAAAAAAATTAAAATTAAAAAATTCGTTAATAATTTAAGTGGAAATTGAAATTCAAATAACATGAAATTTTTGTTAAGATTCATATCACAATTGTTTTTTCTTTTTCTTTTTAGCCAAAGTATTGACAAATCATTTTAGCCATTAGATACATCCAATAGCTGCCTAATACTAAAACAAGAAACCTCTCTCCCAATTCTCTCTTCCTTCTATCTGCTTCTTTCATTGTCTTCCTCATCGGCCCACCACATCATTGATGCAAAACCCCCCAAGTTAAATTTGGAATATGGGATTTTGATCAAAAAATTAATATATAAAAAATATGAAATCTGGCTGAGCTTTGAATTGAGACAACATAAATGGGAAAGAATGAATTTCAACACTAAGCAAAGCTGCAAACTTGGGTGTTAGAAACTCAAACAAAAAAACCACCATACACAAATTATTGATTTGTGTTTTCCGCAAACAGTCACCAAATAGCCTCTGAAGAAGATAGCAGAGAAGAAGATGAAGAGTGAAGAAGAGAAACATATTGGAGAGAGTATGAGAGAAAGAGATGGATACCTGGAGAAGAGTGAAGAGAATAACCATTGGAGAAGATAGCAGAGAAGAACCCTGGGGAGAAGAAGATAAAAATAGTGTCTGATTTTTCACGTAGAATGTGTGCTCTTTTTTTTTCTAGCCTTATAATTAAGCGTGTATTATCTAAACCGAGGTGTGTGGGTTGTATTAGTTAGTCAGGTAAGGAGAGTATTAAAAGCCCAAACTGTTTAAAATAGTCAGGTAATTAAATAATACAAGTTGACACCAAACAATTGACATGGATTATTTATTCATATCCAGAATCTAATACGGTATACCAAACGAGCCCTTAACGTACTATGTTGATATCAAATATCAATTAGGCCCTCCCAGAAGAGTGCAAGAGACTCAGGCCCAGACCACTTGAGGAAGTGACTGGACCCAAATGATTGGTAGGACAAAATCAACCTTCCCTTAAACCGCTCAAGTCTAAACAAGGAGAAGGAAGGTCGTCCATGCGCAAACAAAATAAAGAAAGGATTATGGCCCAATATGCCATCCCATGCGTCTCACCCCTGGAGACCCCAAAAGTGTCAGAAGCAGGGCCCACAATTCAGGAAGCACATCCGCTCTAACTAACTTGACTAAGTTCATGTCTGCAAAACTTATATGATATTATCGAGTTTGAAACAAATATTCTTCTTGTTGGATTATAATTAAAACTAAGGAGGATCCCTACTCACAAATCTCAATTTACCCTCCACTTTTAAAAAGAAATTAAAAAAATGCAATTCCCAATTTACACCCCTAGTTCCACCACAGTTAAAAAAAGAAAAAGCCTACACGCTAATATACACGGGAACAATATAATCACATGATCATCGCATTGGTCTTGAAATGGAGCTGATAAAGAAAAATAAACTAGAAGAATACATGCAGAAAGTTTGCAAATTAAGTACTATAATTAATTGCAACTGCCCAACACAAAAAAGAAAGTAAGAAATAAACAATGAGCATATAACTACATAGTCCCCTTGCTTATCTAACATGAAGCAGGTGACTAAGCGAGAGATGTTCTCAGAAGAGAGAGAGAGAGAGAGAGAGAGAGAGAGAGATCCTGAGCGAGAATATTCTTATCCAGAATATATGAATGGTACTACTGATCATGCATCTCCAAATGCATCCAAGGGGATGGAGCGGAAGAGCTTGATGAATGAAGAGAAGGAAATTCAGTACTTAAATCTTCAATAAAGCCATCCAAATCTGAGAAACCATCCAAGAAACTATTTATCTTCTCTGGATGATGATCACCTGATGATGATGATGATGATCTCCACGTGTAGTTTTGTATTTCCTCCTTTACACTCCGATCTCCATCATTTTGCAATTCCAATATTTTCCCGCTTGGTGATGAATAAGTAGAACATCTTATTGTTTTCTTCCTACTACCATTTACTACTTCCGGTGCTGCTGCAGGTTTTCCAGTGAGATTCTGCACCAGTTCCCGAAAGTTGGCCACATCTGTCTTTATGATTTCAGGTGCACATACGTGGATTATGCGAATCTTTGGCTTGGACGCCGTCTTCGATATTTTATGTGAATCTTTGTGAATGCCCAGTTTAGAAGAAGCTGAACTTGGATTACATGATGAGTACTGTGGCTTCTTCATCATCTTCTCCATGGAGTCAACTATAAGAGATCAGGTGTTTATGTTTGTGTGGGGATTTGGTTAGCTAGAAAGCTATTTTGTGTGGGAACAAAGCTATAGATAGTATGTGGGTTTTTGTAGATAGAAGAAATATATTGATACGAGGGAAGGGAAGTACTGTTCAAGAAATTGCAGGTTTAATTGAAGGCAAACCATAGCAAAGGTGTCCTTTGGAAGCAATGATTAGATACAAGCTAAATATTTCCCAAGTCAATGAACTACCATAAGACCAATTTATTAGGCCCAGCCAGCATATATAATCACTTTTTAAATTTTTTTCAACATTACACGCGTACATTCAAGCATATATAATTACTTTTTAATTAGCTTAGTCCATTGGTTACTTCTTTTTTTAATGTTATAAAAAATTCAAAATTCATATTCCGCCTATGCCTCATTGATAAAAAATAAAAAAAGTTCATTGGGCCTTCATTTGGTTATAATTGAAATTATTATGTCAACATAATGACCAAACTAAACTGATCCTTGATTTCCACACACATATATATATTATGTGTATCCGATTTTGTGTAGGAAGTCACGTCTTTCTTAAAGATAAGTACTCGTTGAGAAAACCTCATTTCTACTGTAAAAAAATTTCAATTTTGATCCAATCTATTATGACATGGTTAATTGTTTTGGGGTGTAGAATCATCATTAGTTTAGAGCTTATACTTAAGGTTTCTAGTCTCGGATTAAAATCCAAAATTTCAAAGTTCTTTATCCATTGCCCATTCCTCCTCAATGCCATTTGATTTGAAGACTTTGTTCATGACAGTAAAAAAAAAGGAAAAAAAAAAACAGGCATGCAGTGTACCGCATGTAGGGTACAAATTACAATGATGGTCTGGCATGCAATATTGTTGATATGCATAATGCATGTGACGTGAGTGCAAACGCTCATATTGTTGCAGATTGCAGTTGGGTGAACTTATTACAACTGGGTTGTACTACTATTACTACTACTACTACGTACCAGTGCTGCTGCTGCAACAATTCAACTTTGTGCAGTGCAGTGCAGCAACAAGACGATCCATTCTTGGAGTTGGTGTCACGTGGTCATGGCATTGGCAAGATGGTCCCCTCCCCGTGAAAGATATGCAGTCGATCATCATTTGCCTCAACTTCACTTGCGGTTTTGTTTGTCCCCACCACCACCACCGGTGCCCAATACGTCTTGGGTGTACTATCTCCTTGTCTAGTTCATTGCGGTTAATCAATTTTCATCACACACGTGTGTGTTATGGTATTTAAATGATAATTTAGAAAATAAACGGTTCTTTTAATTCAGTAAACTTTGCGGTTTAGTACGCAAGTGGGTTACCATATTTTAAGGTCAAGCTCAAGGGTTTGCTGTGGGATGGTGAGGTTTGTGGTACTCACTCGCAGGGACGGACCCACAGTGGGGTCAATGGGGTCAAACGACCCTATGGACTCCAAGAAAGTAAGGTAGAAGGCTCCCTCGAATTGCTCTGTGACCCCATGAAAATCTGGAGAAGAAGTTGCAGAGGTATTGAGGAAGAAGAAGATGAACAGGAGTCTGTTCTTTTTTCAAAAGGAGCTGGCCAAAACGGCGTCGTTTTGGCCCAGCTTCAAATTTTTTTTAAAACCCGGTTACCAAAACGACGTCGTTTTGGTAGCGAATTTTTTTTTAAAAAACTGCGCTGGCCAAAACGGCGTCGTTTTGGGCCAGCGCTACAGCACCGAAATTTTTTTAAAAGACCTGGCCAAAACGACGTCGTTTTGGTCCAGGCCTTTTAATAAAAAAAGAGATCAGCTGCCCTCCCCATTTCTCCCGATTCTTCAACTTCAAAACCCCCATTTTCTAAACCCTCAAACCTAAATCCCCAATCCCCACCTCCCACAAACCTTTAACCCTCTCCCCCACCAAGCCTTTAAGCCCCAACTCCTCCATTGCCGCCGCTTCTAGCAGCGCCGCCGCTTCCAAAAGCTTTGCTTTGCTTCCACCACCTCACAATTCAAGGTAAATTCTAACTCTAAACCTAAATAACTTGAATTGAAATTGAATGTATGATTATATTATATTGTTTTGATATATTGGATGTCTTATTTATGAATTTGTTGTGGTTAATTAGTATAAATTTGGTGTTCTCTTTAATTGAATTGAAATTGAATGTATGATTATATTATATTGTTTTGATATATTGGATGTTTTATTTATGAATTTGTTGTGGTTAATTGGTATAAATTTGGTGTTCTCTTTAATTGAATTGAAATTGAATGTATGATTATATTATATTGTTTTGATATATTGGATGTTTTATTTATGAATTTGTTGTGGTTAATTGGTATAAATTTGGTGTTCTCTTTAATTGAATTGAAATTGAATGTATGATTATATTATATTGTTTTGATATATTGGATGTTTTATTTATGAATTTGTTGTGGTTAATTGGTATAAATTTGGTGTTCTCTTTAATTGAATTGAAATTGAATGTATGATTATATTATATTGTTTTGATATATTGGATGTTTTATTTATGAATTTGTTGTGGTTAATTGGTATAAATTTGGTGTTCTCTTTAATTGAATTGAAATTGAATGTATGATTATATTATATTGTTTTGATATATTGGATGTTTTATTTATGAATTTGTTGTGGTTAATTGGTATAAATTTGGTGTTCTCTTTAATTGAATTGAAATTGAATGTATGATTATATTATATTGTTTTGATATATTGGATGTTTTATTTATGAATTTGTTGTGGTTAATTGGTATAAATTTGGTGTTCTCTTTAATTGAATTGAAATTGAATGTATGATTATATTATATTGTTTTGATATATTGGATGTTTTATTTATGAATTTGTTGTGGTTAATTGGTATAAATTTGGTGTTCTCTTTAATTGAATTGAAATTGAATGTATGATTATATTATATTGTTTTGATATATTGGATGTTTTATTTATGAATTTGTTGTGGTTAATTGGTATAAATTTGGTGTTCTCTTTAATTGAATTGAAATTGAATGTATGATTATATTATATTGTTTTGATATATTGGATGTTTTATTTATGAATTTGTTGTGGTTAATTGGTATAAATTTGGTGTTCTCTTTAATTGAATTGAAATTGAATGTATGATTATATTATATTGTTTTGATATATTGGATGTTTTATTTATGAATTTGTTGTGGTTAATTGGTATAAATTTGGTGTTCTCTTTAATTGAATTGAAATTGAATGTATGATTATATTATATTGTTTTGATATATTGGATGTTTTATTTATGAATTTGTTGTGGTTAATTGGTATAAATTTGGTGTTCTCTTTAATTGAATTGAAATTGAATGTATGATTATATTATATTGTTTTGATATATTGGATGTTTTATTTATGAATTTGTTGTGGTTAATTGGTATAAATTTGGTGTTCTCTTTAATTGAATTGAAATTGAATGTATGATTATATTATATTGTTTTGATATATTGGATGTTTTATTTATGAATTTGTTGTGGTTAATTGGTATAAATTTGGTGTTCTCTTTAATTGAATTGAAATTGAATGTATGATTATATTATATTGTTTTGATATATTGGATGTTTTATTTATGAATTTGTTGTGGTTAATTGGTATAAATTTGGTGTTCTCTTTAATTGAATTGAAATTGAATGTATGATTATATTATATTGTTTTGATATATTGGATGTTTTATTTATGAATTTGTTGTGGTTAATTGGTATAAATTTGGTGTTCTCTTTAATTGAATTGAAATTGAATGTATGATTATATTATATTGTTTTGATATATTGGATGTTTTATTTATGAATTTGTTGTGGTTAATTGGTATAAATTTGGTGTTCTCTTTAATTGAATTGAAATTGAATGTATGATTATATTATATTGTTTTGATATATTGGATGTTTTATTTATGAATTTGTTGTGGTTAATTGGTATAAATTTGGTGTTCTCTTTAATTGAATTGAAATTGAATGTATGATTATATTATATTGTTTTGATATATTGGATGTTTTATTTATGAATTTGTTGTGGTTAATTGGTATAAATTTGGTGTTCTCTTTAATTGAATTGAAATTGAATGTATGATTATATTATATTGTTTTGATATATTGGATGTTTTATTTATGAATTTGTTGTGGTTAATTGGTATAAATTTGGTGTTCTCTTTAATTGAATTGAAATTGAATGTATGATTATATTATATTGTTTTGATATATTGGATGTTTTATTTATGAATTTGTTGTGGTTAATTGGTATAAATTTGGTGTTCTCTTTAATTGAATTGAAATTGAATGTATGATTATATTATATTGTTTTGATATATTGGATGTTTTATTTATGAATTTGTTGTGGTTAATTGGTATAAATTTGGTGTTCTCTTTAATTGAATTGAAATTGAATGTATGATTATATTATATTGTTTTGATATATTGGATGTTTTATTTATGAATTTGTTGTGGTTAATTGGTATAAATTTGGTGTTCTCTTTAATTGAATTGAAATTGAATGTATGATTATATTATATTGTTTTGATATATTGGATGTTTTATTTATGAATTTGTTGTGGTTAATTGGTATAAATTTGGTGTTCTCTTTAATTGAATTGAAATTGAATGTATGATTATATTATATTGTTTTGATATATTGGATGTTTTATTTATGAATTTGTTGTGGTTAATTGGTATAAATTTGGTGTTCTCTTTAATTGAATTGAAATTGAATGTATGATTATATTATATTGTTTTGATATATTGGATGTTTTATTTATGAATTTGTTGTGGTTAATTGGTATAAATTTGGTGTTCTCTTTAATTGAATTGAAATTGAATGTATGATTATATTATATTGTTTTGATATATTGGATGTTTTATTTATGAATTTGTTTCACTCGCAAGCCAAAAAGTGTTTGCTCTATCCCAATTTATTTGGGACAATACTAGCCAGCGCACGTCTTGGATGTAGCTTTTTTATCTACTTCGTTGTGGTTAATCAATCTTCATCACACACATGTCATGGTCTTTAAGTGATAATTTAGAAAATAAACGGTTCCGATTATAACTTTTGCAATGACAAAAATTTGTGAATCACAAGAAGGTGGACAATTGAAGTGAACAGTGCACCTAAGTATTTTTCATTTATTCTTAAGTGCCTTTTGGTATTATCATATATATGGTTGCTTCATTAAAGAACTTGCTAGATTATCAATAATATTTTTTTCTAGGTCAAACATGCTTTCTAAATCAAATATATATATATTAATAATTATCACTTAACTAAAAAAACACCATAAGTGAATTTTTAATTGGAATTTATCTTAAGTTCTTAACTCTCACCTACTACTACTAGTTTCTTTTATTCTTTTTTATTTATTTATGAAAACTGAAAATTAGTTTCTTTCCTTTATGACCCTCGTCTACTAGTTGTTCAAATTTATTTATTTATTTATTTTTATGAGTTGGTTATTGTTTAAAAAAAAAAGAAAAAAAGAGATTGACTTTACAATATTAATTCCAAGTTTCATCATCAAGGAAAGGAGCAATGTAATCGCTGAAAGATATTATTATTATTATTTTTAAATAGTAAGGTTTCATTCAATTGTTGAAGGGGTTATAGACTTGAGCAAACAAACGTGGCCTCAACAAAACTTGCCTCAGAAAACTCAGTGGAAAAAATCTAAGACAAAGAAAAAAGAGTATCACACGCTCCATAAGGGTTACAAATTAAAAAAAAAAAATTTAGAAAAACCAAAATAACAACGTCAACTAGCAGAGAAACATTGACCACTAAACCTTCAAAGATATTATTAAATAGCCACTCTTAAATTTGGTACATTTGAAAAATATGAAGTATTTACAGTATCAGGATATGTATGATTATGTATCAATTAGAATCATTATTATGCGTGTGTATTGATGTGAAATAAAAATAAATATAGATAATACAGAGTGTTACAATTATATATTGGAATACATTCTCTATATACTATATAGAAAAAGTATTATTGGACCACCTTATATAGGAAAGTGTAACATTATTTATTCGAATCACTTGGCTTTATATATATTGGGGGGAGCAGGTGTCGTGCACCATCCCAGAATAATTGGATTAATCCAGTTAGCAAATAGAACGTCTATTCTTCTTTTTCTTTTCTTTTTTAAATCTGACCTTTGGAAGAGAAAAAAAATACATCTTTAATGACACAATATTTTACTCTCTTTTTTTCTCTTCTAAATTGCTCAATCAATTTGTCACTTACACAAGGCCTATGCTTTTCAATTTCGTTGAAACTGATCTGTATATTTGTTAAACAAATAAAATGCACGCTTGGCGGAAATTGACATTCCATTTTAAAATTGATTTTTTTTCATTCGGGCTAGTTTTGGATCACCATATTCTTTAACGGTCTTTGAGTCGATAACATCAACGACCTTAACCTTGTGAGGTTTAACATTCTGTTAAAATTAATCTCCAAAAATTGCTGTGGCTTGGCCGGGATTAGATGATTTTAAGAGAAACACTTGTATGAAACAACAATATTGTGTTTGTTTGAGGTAAAAAGCCAAAGCTGAGCAAGCAAAATATAGGGCTGCCTTGTGGCAATCAGAATACCCTTTTGGCAAATAGAGTTGGCGTCACTCTATTGCTGTTAGAATACACTTTCTGCATTATGTTGATACTTTCTGATTTTTTCTTCACTCTATTATTGTTTTTGGGTAAAAATTCACCAAATGACTCTGTAACTTGGTATTTGCAAGAATATCATTTACCTACCTCTCTTCTTTTTCTTTATTCTCTTCGTAAACTGATTATTGCATTTTAAAGCTTTAACTATTTTGTAACCGACAAAAAAATGCCTTTAACTATTTCCTGCAGATAAATCCCAGCCATACACGTGGCAAGCTCACGGATTTCTGAGACGTCCGATCCCAAGCAAGCCTTTGACTATATTTCCTGCAGATAAATCCCAGCCATACTCTCCTTGTTGGCATAACACGTGTGATGATCAAACAGAGGGCCTCTTTGTCAGCAATTCCTTGTAAACAAGCTACTGCTGCTCAAGGAGGGTACTTTGACTCCCTAAACATCTCCCTCCAATTGAAGATCCAATAATTTTTTTAATTAAAGATAGTTTACATTGTCAACCATGAAAATTTGTTTTGTCATTTGGAAAGTTGAAGGAAATAGCACTACCTTCAACCAATCACGACATATCATGTGTGACAACTTTTTTACGTGGTAGTCTATGATTGGTTGAGAATAGCAAAACAATGTTATCCTGTTTCACACAAGTTTTTCTGTGATTTTAGGCTCATGAACGCCTGCTAGAAGATGTTGCAATGCAGTTTGAGTTTAACGATAATCGTTTCCGTTAATTAAAAAAATATTGATCTCGAGCCTCATCACTTCACTTATTTCCAATTGATTTTGAGTTGGATGTTCTCTTCACATGATATCAGAATTAAGTTTTTCATATATTGATCCTATCCTAACAGAGAACTCTCCGCATTGTGAGAACAAACCTAAAAAGCGGTAAGAAGTTGAAGAGAGTAAAAAATTACTAAGGTAAGGTATTTCAATCTATTTCAAGAGTTTTTGTTTTTGGGCAGGTGATTGGCATTTTTTCAAACTCAAAAAAAAGTTCTAAACACTGAGCAAACCATGAATTTAAATTGGCAAACGCTTATTGTATCAAAATGCTATTGTCAATAATACTGAATACATATTTAATCAAAGAAAAAATGAATCTCTCAAACTCACAAACATATATATTTAAGCAAACATATTAACATTCTTGTACAAAAATCCAAATGGAATATGCATGCTGATTAGGAGTATCGAGGCGTTGCATTTTCCGGGCTACGAGGAGACTGCAAATTATCCCTCGAATAATTTGATGAAGGAGAGAGCTCACCGCCGGCGGGTAAGTCGGCAAGAACAGCAAGCATCCGACGGATGCTTACAGAACGAGCTGGTTTGAAGCTATGTGATCTCCTGGTAGTTTTGGAGAAGATGTTTGATGAGTTGGAAAGGATGAGATATACCAAACCCTGAACCAGTATGAACATGGCTACCTTCACCAACACATCTGCTATGCTGCTTTCCATAATCATCATCATCCTTAATTATTTGTGTCCTTGCTAACCTGTTATCTGTTTCAGACAAGCTTGTTTTGATTTGGCTGGAGGAGGAATTTGGCAAGTGATGAATGAATTTGGATTTAAAACTACTTACGACAGGTGGTATTTATAGAGTTTCCATGAGAAGAGAAGCGTGTGAATTTGACTGTGGAGCATGGAAAACATGAAAGGCGCCAACCTCTTTCACTTGCCGTCACAATCTAGAACTTGTGCTGACGTGGTTTTTATCATGTTGACCAGGTTGGAGTAGTTGAAAAGTAAAGCAGCTAATCTCGACGGTCTTCCTAATCAAAGGAGGAGCAGAGAGACTGGGTCAGTTTTTGCATTATCCTAATCTAGATGACGTGTCACGATAAATAAAATGAATTACTTAATAGACATAATAAGTTACGTAATGAGTGATGTAGATACAATGAACGAAAGACAAGCGAAAGTAGCTAAGAAGGTAGATTGCGCTTTGATTTGATCATCCAATAGTTTGCATGTTAGACGAAGCAAGCACTCATCTTCACCTAATTCGCGTCAATAAAATAACTCTTGAATGGATTGTATCGTATGCATAGCGACTTTATGCGAGTGTTTGTTAGTTTGATTGGGATGTGTTTGTTTGATGATAGTTATAATAAGAGGTCAAAAGCAGCACGTGATTAAAGAATCTGGGTATTATTACTTTACGCGTCTTTGATGACTTGTTTTCTACCACCTATGACACGAGAACAGACGTATGGCGGTTATGGAGATTGCTTGTGCAGCCCCAAATGGAGATGACGATGATCTCCACCGGCTATTGCCTGTTTCCAGAAGAATAATTGAAGTGTGGAAGATTGGATAATTGCTTCCACGGCTCTCAGAAGTCGTAACTCACAAGTTAGAGACAGCTTAGCAGCATCTCTCTCTTTCACGCACTTGACAAGTTAATGGTCAATCCAAATATTTATTCATGTTAAACTTTTCAACAATCCTTTTATTGACCTAAAAGATACTAGGACAGGCTGCTGCCTCACTCTGTTCAAACACCATCCCTTCCCACCCCAAAAATACAGATTTACAAAGAAAGAAGAATAAAAGAGCTGAGAGCGTGATCAGTTACAGTACATAACAGTCGATGAGATAATCTTTCAATTAGAACCTTATCATGGCAGAACTGGCTCAAAACCTGTTATTTGGATTATGAAACGATGCTGCGTTCCTGGGTGGATAAGCCGGTAGGGAATGTGAACTGCTACTTTTCAGATCCAGAACACACATCACCACAGGTAACAAGCTCCCCTTGTTAAAGAGATAATGATGGAAAGAAGCGACATCACAGAACAGTAGTCAGATCAAAGGTTGACCGATTCAAGGAACAATCATGGTTAAAACAACTTTGCGGCATCACAAACCAAAGAGGCAGACAAGCCTTTCATTTATTAACTGAAATTGAAGACGAAAATGGTATACACATACTTTAACCCCAGCTCTGTAAAGGAGAGAAGGGAGGGGATAATGCACGATTATCACATATGATCAGGGTGCTGACTAGTTGACCTAGACCAAGGAAAACGTAAGCAGGAAAAAGTAGCACAACCATCCTCTGCAGATTTACACTTCAATTTTCTGGTGACGCTCAAGGTTCCTCAAAACAGATCTAACTACAAATTTCCTGCAATCAAATATTGAAAGAGATATATTAGTAAAATCTATAAAGCCTTGCTCTTGGATATTTGGCATTTAAAAATTGATTACAAGGTAAGAATTAGCCAGGTGACATGGCATTGTGAACTTCACTCTGGCCACCATGGTTTAAACATAGGCCATGTCGAAGCTAGAACAGACATTTTGCAACTTTGGCCCCAAAGATTGCCCAGGAAGATGATTTCATTGTCATGTTTTAGTCTTAAGTAACTACTACAAAAAAGAAAGAAAACAAAGAGAAGAGTTTGCCCCAACTTAAGGCTGCAGTGTTGGGAACCTTCAAATTGGTGCATAAGGCAATTTATGTTATCTTGAATAATCATATTAATCCCTGTATGTCCAGTTAGAAAATACTAATCCCAGTACAACTTCAATATAAATAAACCCATGAACCATAACAATGGGTATGAAATTGTTGGATGCAAAGAGAAGAGGTAGATGCGTTGGAGGAAAAATGGAAAAGACAGGCATATTTTAAAGTGAAATAAGATTTACCTATCCAGCACTTATGGTTTGAATTTATACCATAACATGGATTTAGCAAACCCTTGAAGCAAGACCTTTATAAATGCCCAATGGATAAGTGCCAACTTCTTAGTTGATCAAGCCTCCTAGCAAAGTAATAGGAGCCTATAACTCACGTTCAGCCTCAGCAAGAATTGAGAGGTGTATGGAGTGGGGGATGCTACAAGCCAATTATGGCCGATAGTCACAGGACAGGCCCTGGGCCTCCACATTGATGAACCATTTAAGCTAATGCTCACAAGTTTGAACCATGATCAATTGGGGATGAAATTGCTGTCAAAGATAAAGATGGGGCATCTGGGAAACACCTAGAAGCAGAACAACCCCCAAGCCACCCCCATTAAACACTGACAATGCACAAAAATGGGAACTCGCAAAAAGTTGATATCACTGAAGCATAATCTCTGGTATGATCTAAAGGACAGAACCCATAAAAATGTTATCCATACCACAGCAAAATTGAAGTAGGCCACGTATACTCTCATGTAGAAAGAGGATCATGGACTTCTTTCAACCCACACATGTAACTGTTTACTGTTGGACTTTAAGCTACAACTTGGTAGACAGCATCAAAATCAACTCTTGTCTAGTTTGACTCATAGCTTCACATACACCAGTGAATGTTAATTATTTAAAGGCCAGAGTTTCTTGCTAATTTTATGCAAGATTTTCAAAATCGTATAGAAAATTTTGGAGGAAACTCTTTGAAACTACCTAAAACATGAATAATGTTTGTCACTGATATGAGTATGAGCCTCTTTGGTAGCCAACCAACTACCAAGTGCTCACTAAAATTTCTTCATTTGGGATATCATTCCTAGTGAAAACCAGGAAGAGGACTATTTAAACAGGATAGCATACAGCATAGCTGTAGAAGACACAAATCAAGTTTTATTGTGAAAACCAAGAAGAAAATGAAAGGAATTCCTGTTTATTTTGGATTAAAAAACGGAAAACTCCGGAGGCTAAGACTTCTCTGAAGTGTTAATTACAACTACAAGATAAGCTCATGTTTGGCAAGAGCTTCAATACCATAGATTTGTTTGGTTAGTGAACTCCTAATAGCATTCAAAGAAACACAGAATTTCAACCTAACTCAGAAGACATGCGAGGGGTTGTAATATGAGCAGCACACAAAAATGCAATCCAAACAAGGCAATGCAATTGATAGAAATTACGACAATGGGAATGAAAAGAAAACGAACCGTTGAAAGATGAGTCGGCATTGGCATTGGCATTGACATTGGGGGAGGCAGCGGGAGCCATTTCTTCTGGGTTGGCCATTTGCCTTCCACTGGCAGCAATGTAGCTGAGGCGGAGACTACCCCCACGGGATCCATATTCCATGAACCAATCGTACTGATCGTCGTCGTCGTCGAAGGGCAAGGGGGTGTTTTGGTTTTGGTGTCGTAGGTGTGGTTGGTGAGTGTCGGTGGGGAGCTGGAAACGGCAGAGGGGGCAAGAGCTGTGGGAAGAGAGCCAGGGGAGAATGCAGTGGGGATGGTAGAGATGGTTGCAAGGGAGCTGCTTGGCGTCGACGGAGTGAAGGAATGGGTCCTTACAAACGGCGCAGAGGAGAAGGGGGTCGAGATCGAGCATGGAGGAGGTGATCTTGAGAGTGGGGATGGCGTCGACGGAGGCCTTGGAGGCAGGCAGAGAAGAAGGGGGGACGGCGGCGGTGGGTGAAGGGAGGCGGTCGTCGTGGTTGATGGGGTGGGTGGAGAGGTGGTGGATGAGGCGGTGGAGGAATGGGCTGCTGAGCAAGAAGTTGTCTTGTGAGTTGTGCTGATGGTCAGAAAAAGAAGCAGAAGAAGAAGACGAAGAATCCATGAGCTCCAAGAGATCGCTGAAGCAGTGAGGGCAGAGCAGAGTCTCCTGGGCAGAACAAGGCACCAGGCTCACGCTCATGTCGCATTCGTGGCACCAGAACGTCTGCTGATCACCCATTTCTTTATTTTTTTAATTGACGGAGATTATTGTCGGCAGTGCAGAGGGGAAGGGGGAAGGGGAGGCGGCCAGTTCCAGTCACCAGTAGGACGACTCAGGAGGAGGGAGGACTTGCATCTTGTTTTGGATTGAGGGATTAATGCCATCGAGGGCATTCTGGTCATTATGCTTTTTCAATCTCTGTCTCTATCTGAGATGAGATGAGCAAGCAGCAAGGAGACTCATGACTGATTTGGTGGATGATGGGTAAATAGTGTGAGTGAGTGATCCTCCCACCCCACTCTCTCTCTCTCCCTCTGTTTCTCTGTCCTTGAAGTGAAGGAGCCTCAAGTTGAACCACACGTACTTACTGGAAACACATTGATGTGTTGTCACTCGCACCTCTGGCAAGTCAGATCTCCCCCTTTCACTCCTTATTCCTTCCTTGCCTTCCATTGCATATTTCTTAATTATTAAGCTATTACAATATACAAATATTTTTTATCTTTCTTTAATTGAACTCCAACCAAAATACAAATTTCCACTTCTTTTTGGTGGGGGACGTGATCACCAATTCACCATTTCTGTACCCATCAAACTACCTAACTACTCATTTCTACTTGGGCTAATGTCTACATTTTTACTTTTGACAGGTCTACATTTTTACATTTTAAATACATAAAGTAAAGTTGTGGACTTAAAAAGCATTCAATGTTGACTTCTGGCAGAGATTTCGGAAATTTGTCCTTTAAAAAAAATGAGAATTGTTATTAGCAATCATCTAGGCTATGTTTGATTCACAAATATGATTTGATGGGAAATAATTTGGGAGTTTCACTAAAACACTCAAAATAGGAGCTGAAATTATAAAAAAACCCAACACCCAAAACACTTTATAAACACACCCAAAACCCATCATTATACACACTCAAAACCCATTTATAAACACACCCAAAAAATATACAATTGTTGACTTTGGGGTTGATTTTGGGTGTGTTTCTATGTTTAAATAGTGTTTGGATTTTTTTATAAATACATGTCTAGGATTGGGTTTATTTATAAATTTGTAAAAAAAATTTCATGTATTTTCTTAAGGGATGAGAATGCTTATTTGCAAGGGTATATGCTGTTAAACACTTGAGCTACAAGCCCTTTGTATTTTCTCATATTTGGTAAAGCAAAGAAAGCAACAAGAAAATACCACTTTATTTCATTTCCCATGGTTTAATTGTGTAGAAATAAAGTTTTCCAATTATACTGTGTTAGATATATGAAGAAAAATAATACCAACAATCTTTGTTGTTGGATAACATTGTAATCTATATGATAATAGGGATAAATTGGTCATAAAAAATGCATTTAATGTTGGCCTTGGTTTCCCATGGGAAGGAAAGTGCGTTTATCCCTTCTCTCTCTCTGGTTCCTCTTTTTTTTTTTTCCTTATTCTTTCTCTATGCTATAAGCAGAATGACCGAAATACTTGGGACATTGACAAAGAGAGCAGTAGCTTGGAGTTCCTGCAAATGGAGTTGATCGGAATTCAGAGGCCTTCTCTTGTAACTCAAAGGCCATGTACCACTAAGAAAACTGGAGCACAGAAAGAAGAAGAAGAAAAAAAAAAAAAAAGAGAGAGAAGAGAAAAATCCAGGAAAAAAACAAAGAGAGGAGATAAGGAAATAAATAGGAAGAAAAAAAAAAGGAAAGAGAGATGTTAGAAATTATTTTTGTTATTTGTAATTCAATATTGTTGTTTCCTATGTTTTAGGAAATCAGCTGGGTTTTACCTATTCAATAGGTGTGTACTAGTTGTGGGAGAAGTCTATTAGTATTAGTAGTAGTGGGATATTTAGTTGTTCTTTTATTATATGAGTCAGTTGCTTTGTATGTGTTATTTAAGTTGTGTTTCAGTCAATGAAAATTCACTTCAGTTCAACATAGCTTTCTATCTCTTATTATTTGAGTTCTCTAAATTTTTCAACATCTGGTATCAGAGCCCCCATTGGGCCTGACTTAAATCACTACAAGAAAACATGCCTTTTGTGAAAAGGGGTAGTCGTCACTGAAACATGGAATTTCGTCACAGTTGAGTATATGTGACGTAATTTTAGCGTCACAGCTTTCGTCACCTATACCCAGTCACCGATTCTCCCACGTGACACTTTCTCTCTTCGTCACATATACCCGATATGTGTGACACACACCGCGTCACTATACATCGGATTATGTGGCTATCCGTTAGTCACTTCCTACGGCTATTAGTGATGCATGATTTAGGTCACGGTTTAGCTACATCTGTGAGGAGTAATTCATCTCCTAAACTTGGTATAAAAAGCTCCTTCCTATACAATATGTGACCCTTTAGGCGTCACATATTTATGTAGTGTGTGATGACATGCGCATCACATATTTTTTTAATGTGTGACGATGCACATGTCACATTATTTTGTAGTATGTGACGATGTATACATAAGATGTCTTTTTAATTGTGACGATGTTGGCTTCACATATTTCTTCAGATTGTGATGAGGTCTGTGTCACAAATGTTCCATACCAAGGTACCTAATAATGAATAATATATGCAAATCCAATCACAATTCTCAATTCTCATCCTTTCAATGTATAATATAAAAATAGATAATCGCATTTCCATTAATAAAAGTAGGTAATTACATTGTATGTTCCAAAATAAAGATTCCAAACTAAGTCTACACTTTGTACAACCAAAAGTAAGTCTAGAGCAAGTGTGTTCCAAAATAAAGATCCCAAACTAATTCTAGACTTTGTATAACCAAAAGTAAGTGTAGAGCAACTATGTTCTAAAAGATCTCAAACTAATTCTAGACTTTGTACAACCAAAAGTAAGTCTAGAGAGCAAGTGTATGTTCCATATGGATATAATCCCTAAATCAGTTCTCATCAAGATTCTGGTTTGCTAGTTCATCATAATAGTCATCATCAATATGGACACCATTACTACCTTTAGAGCGGTTGCTGGTTTGGCCATGAGATGCAGTCAAAACAGACCTCAATTGGGCTCTCAAATCTTCATTATCCTTTTGCAAAGTGACGAAATTTGTTAATAGCATCTTGAGCTGATCATAAATTGCACTCAACTCAAAACTTGAAGCCATTGAAGAAGGAGTGGATGAGCTAGAGGTCTCCATGCAAGGAAAAACACCTACACCATGGATTGATCTTCCCCTTCTCCCGAGCTTCTCACCCATGATTCCAAACTCAGCATCTAATGGCACTTGTATAGAATCAGGTGTAGTACACTCAGGTGCTTCTTGAATCAACTTCTCCCTAATCTCATCTCACATTTTCTTTATCTCATCCTACAAAATAAAGTTTTAGAAAAACCACACAATTAACCAACATTACTGATTTGAGTGCACAACACATATGACCATAAATCCACACCTGGAAAATTAAATGAAGCAGCATGTGTTGAATTTACAAATCAGGAAAAAAAAAAAAAAACCTTGTACAACTTTCTTGAACTAATTATAATTAAAATTGGAGTTTTGTTTTTAGTTCATAACATCAAACAAGATAAGATGTCGTCAAACCTGCATTAAAGTTAAAAAAAAAAATGAATTTTAATCTCTAGAATCCCCCACTAAAGTTTTTATTTTGTAGTAGACTTAATTTGTATGACTTGTCTGAAATCTTGCTTTCTTTATGTTAATGAATTTTGCTTGGGAAACAAGGTTGACCATGCTAAGCATCAACCTAATTCCCACAAGCAAAACTGTTCATCTCAAGGCTAGGACTCAAGTTTACATCTTTGACATCTCGGACAAGGAAGAAAATTCCAGAAATGCAGTAAATATAAATACAAACAGAAATACAAATATAGGTTAAAAAAATCTGTTATAGCGTTTGATTGCAACCAAGTTTAGAAAATAGAAAGCATGGACATCTATTATTAACAATTTAACTGAAAACAAGGCATTGCATACCACACATATTGTCTTCTCATATGACTACATTGATTCAATCAGCATATTGGTATAAATAACTAAAGAGATACCCAAAATAAAAGGAAAAGGAGACAATCTCCTAGCCAACAAATCACTACCCCGCATTCCAAATTCTGCCAACTTCTAAAGAAGAAAGATACGTGAAAGAATTGGTAAGCACAAAGCAATGCATAATCTTAGAATATGCCAACAGTTAACACAAAGTATGAGTAATTGACATGTTTCTCTTAAGCACATCATTGATCCATTGACCCTTCTTGTCTTTGTGGAGAGCCCCCCAATTATCTATCATAGATAACAATTAGGCTTTAAGGTTGCTCCTTAAATAATTTAATGTGCATTTGATATTAAGAGACTTACAAGGATTATCAGCTACAAATCTGATGGCTGCCCATCCATTCTTTGGAACTCCAATGGTGTTTACTTCTGTTGGATCCACCAAATTGTAGGTCGTAGGTGACATCGTACTGTTGAAATTCCCAAAACCAGTTCCAACCAAATATAAGCTGAAACCATGGAGATGCATTCGATGGTTCTCAGGTGCAATGATGCTGGTCCCTTGGAAGACTATCTCAACTCCTTCACCATAGTTGATCATCCTCACCCTCATCCCAAAGCTTGGATATAGTGTGTTGTTTGCTACGTCTCCCGTGAAGTTATAAAAATAAGGTGGTACGTCTGGGAAATTAGTTGCGTACCCTCCACTGGTATTTCCCCTGCACATAGGCAATAAGTTGGGAAACCTTATATTTATACATAGAAACTTCATGAACTATAATACTATAATTTTATAACATGTATTGTTTGATGCAAAAAACATGCAAATATGCATATGCTAATAGATGGAGTCTCAACATAATTTGTGGAAGAAAAACATGATAGGTACCCATAATATGCTTGCAGTATACTAATAGATGGAGTTTGAAAACTGATGTTGTTTAAGCTTGTAGCAAGCGCATTTCCATCTGGCCCAGCACAAGAAGAATTTGTACAAATCCTTTCATTTATTGAAACAGCAATGTACATCGACATTGAGATGTTTAAGGGGACACTAATAGGGTGGTCTTCGCTTGCTAAGGCCCTTACTTGCTTAGTGAAGTTTTCAGCAACTGTGTTGTAATCGTGATCTGGAAGAGTCGGAAAGGGAGTGGTTGAGGGGGTGCTGTAGTTGCCGTTGTATTCAAGAATTGCAGTGGTGGTGCTGTTGTGGAATGAAACATTCCCGTCAACAAAAGAAGGAGCAGCGATGTAATAGTGGCAGCGATGTAATAGTGGCTGGGAGGCTGGTTTGCAATGACTTAAATGTCTATGGTTTGGCCTGGAGTTATCATGATGTAAGGGGTGGTTATAGGAAAAGGAGACAATCTCCTAGCCAACAAATCACTACCCCGAATTCCAAATTCTGCCAACTTCCAAAGAAGAAAGATAAGTGAAAGAATTGGTAAACACAAAGCAATGCATAATCTTATAATAAACCAATAGTTTTGGATAACAAGCGATGCATAATCTTAGAATATGCCAACAGTCAACACAAAGTATGAGTAACTGGCATGTTTCTCTTGAGCAACATCATTAATCCATTGACCCTTCTTGTCTTTGTGGAGAGCCCACCAATTATCTATCATAGATAACAATTGTCAAAATTGCCAATTGAACATAAGAGTATTAAGTACCGAAAAAAAATTGCCAAGATTCATAGAAGAGTCAAATTGTCAAAATACAAATGACAAAAGTCCTGGTCAATTGTAGAATTAATTCAGTCAATTGTCAAGATGAGAAATTGGTCACTACCAATATAATCTTGAAAATTCATAACGGTCCCCAATTTTATCGAATCGGTGAGCTGTTGTGGAGTAGACATAGTCATTTTCTTTTTACTTTTTTCAGTTTAAGATGACAGAGTTGTAGTTTGGTTTTGTTGTTAATGAGATTTGTATCAAAGATGATGGTGGAATAGTAGTTCACAAAGTCTTTGTAACGCAAGGATGCATACAAGTGTGTTAGTTGAAATAAGATATAAAGTCATGTCTGCACTTATAGATAAGAAATTCTTTAGCACAGATGCAATATTTAACATCAGGTAGAAGGAGAACCCCGATAACATTGCTATAAACGAGTAACTTGACAGCTGAGGTATTGTGATCATCTACATTATGAGAATCATGTGCTGGAAAAAAAGAACCACAAAGGTAAAGAATAGTATAGGTCAGTACGCATTACGTCGAAAGACATTTATCATTAAAAAAAAAATGCAGAAGCTACAACAATGCAAAGGGAGCATGAGCTGAAAAATTACCTCTCCAATGCAAGAATCATTACAGGACCAAGAAGCCTTTCCACAAATGGGTATATGGTGATTTGGAACACAAAAGGACCAAAACCTAAAAGTTGATAAAATCGTCAGCGATTATTGAGCATGTGTAGATTTATTTACATAAATTAGAAATTGAAACTGTATCAAATGCTCTATCTTTTGAGTGAACTTATTGTCAAAATAAGTTATTCTACAATTTCTCATCTAGTCAAATTGTCAAAATAGAATTTCTCATATTTGGCCATGTTCAGATTACAAATTAAAGCATGAATCAAAACAACACAAATCAGAAAGTAAAAGAAACTTACCTTTGGAATATATACATGCATCATACATCAACTTTTGAAATATATTTCAATTTATACGCATACCGTAAATAATATTGGCTAAAGTAGTCAAAAGGATACATTATACATGTGATGTCTACAATTTCTTTCTTCTATATAAAGACCGTGAGAGAGAGAGAGAGAGAGTTATATATTTTTCACCAAGCTCTAGCTAATTTCATACAAATTACAAAGGTACATTATAAAACTCTCAATTGAACAATACATTATACGTGGCTCAAATAGCAAACATAGAAGTCCAAGGCGAGATCAAAGCCAGTGCTGACAAGTTCTACGAAATCTTTCATAACAAAGGGTACCTTTTGCCCAAGATCTGCCCTAATATTATAAAGGATCTACAGGTGCTTAAAGGTGACAGTAGCTCTGTGGGCTCAATCAAGCAATGGACTTACATTGCTGCAGGTAACAAATATAATATTAATTAATATTATAATATACTGGAGTGATAAAATAATCGTTATAAATTGCTCTTATATTGTCATACATTCAACCATAACTATCAATTTCATAACTGGACTATTATTTATCATAAACCTAACCTCCACCTTAATTAATTGGTTCTCTAAAACCATGATAGGAAATTTTTCTGAGGTTTCAAAAGAGAGTTAAATCCATAGATGAGAAAAACAAATCAATCGCCTTCTGAATTGTGGAAGGAGAGGTCACGAAACATTACAAGAGTTTCAAGGCGACAGTTCAAGTTACAACAGGGGGTGATGGATGCAGCCACAGCAGCAACTCATCAGTGAAATGGAACATAGAATACTAGTTTCAGAATGAGGCTGTTCCGGCTCCTAATAAGTATCTGGACTTTGTGGTCATTCTCACTAACAATGTTGATGCCTACCTTCTCAATAATGCGTAATAGATGCATAACAAATTAAGCATGAATCAAAATTAACCAAGAGCACTGCAACACCCATTAGAAATTTCTATTTTACCTAAAATACACAGAAAAAGAGAACAAAAAGATATCAAATCACAATCAACAATTGAACAGGGAAATAACAATCAACAATTTAACAATCAATGAAGAAATTTCTATTTACCTGTGGGTTTTTTAGAGTGGGGGTCAAGGGGATGAGAGACTACAAGTGGAAGGTGGCCTTAATTAGCTATGGTCATTGTCGAGGGAATAGATTGAAATGAGAATTTGTTGGTGATTGAATGTGGGAGACAATGGGTCACTCGAAGTGGGAGACAGAGGGAGTAAGGGAGAAAGAGAGAGAGAGGAAGATGAGTGGTCTTCGTCGCCGGAGAGGAGGAGTGTTCTTCGTCGTCGATGGTTTGTGGATGAGAGCGCTGCTAGTGATGAGGATGAAGGGACTGAAGCTTTGATTAGGTTGAACGAACCGTTGGGGGTTTTGTTTTGTTTTGTTTTTTTCCTTTTTCTTTTGGGCCATAGGTGACGCTGCCAATCTTCACTCAATAAAATTTCTGGGCCTCACTTTCATGCTCTGTGACGAATGTGCATTATTCGTCACATTTAGTAAAAAAATGGGGCGCCAAGATTTCTAGCTATTTAATATGTGACGACACTGAAATTATAACGTGACGAACATGGAGCGAAAATTTGGTTACGTCCCTTCAAGACTTTTAGGTGATGACTTGCAAAATTCTCTCACTTATACAAGCCAAATGCGACCGAATTTTCAACGCCACATAAAATTTGGTCACATAAGGGCTATTTTCTTGTAGTGAATTCTCCAAAAAGAGCAGCTTTCTTGACTTGCAGCAGTAAGGACTGATGGCATCTGACAAGTTTCAAGAGAACTACGTGCAGCCAGCCATACTTCGTTTTGATGGTCATTATGACCATTGGAGCATGTTAATGGAGAATTTTATGAGAACCAAAAAGTATTGGAGTCCTATTGAAATTGGAATTGTAGAACCAGTAGAGGGAGCATTGTTGATGGAAATGCAACAGAAGAGGCTTGGTGAACATAACTTCAAGGCAACAGAAGAGGCTTAATTAACATAACTTCAAGGACCTCAAAGTGAAAAATTATCGATTTTGGGCAATTGATCGATCCATTTTGGACACTATTCTAGAGAAGGACACTTTCAAGCAGATATGGGAGTCTATGAAGAAAAATAATCAAGGTTCCACCAAGGTGAAGTGTGTACAGCTTCAAGCACTTTGGAGAGATTTTGAAACTCTTCACATGAAACGAGAAGATTCTATTGATAAATACTTCTTGAAGACAATGACAATTGCAAGTAAGATGCAACTTCATGGTGACAAGATGGATGATTTCACAATCATTGAAAAAAATTATGCGTCCAATGTCGCCAAAGTTTAACTATGTTGTTTGTGCAATTAAGGAAGTAAACGACATTGAAACAATGTCAATTGATGAATTGCATAGTTCACTGTTGGGGCATGAGCAGAAACTTAAAAGTCAAAATACTACAATAGAGAAGATAACATTAAAAGCTCCACCAGCAATGAATCCTCATCATGAAAAGGCTCCGGTCATGGTCGAGGTAGAGGTTAAGCAAGAGGAAGAGGGAGAGGTCTTCATGATTCTGGCGGCAGAGGAAATCATGATTCCAACAGCATAGGCAAATCTAATTCTAGAGGTAGAGGCAGAGGTCAATACAAACAACAAAGACATCATGAGTCAAAACTCGACAAATCACAGATTGAGTGCTATAGGTGTGGTAGGTACTGTCACTATCGATCTGAATGCTATACTAACATGTCTAAAGAAAGGGGTGAGACATCAAAATTTGAACAAAAAGATGAAGAAATTCTTCTTATTGCTTGCGATACAAAGGAGGAATCTTATTCCAATTGGTGGTGTATTGACTCAGGATAACAATCGTATATGTGGGAGTAAGTCTGATTTTCATCATTTATATGAATCCTTTCATACTACTGTGAATTTTGGTGATGATTCTGTTATTTCAGTGATGGGAAGAGTGATATCCAAATCAAAGCAAAGGATAACTTCCTTCAAATGATTTCTAATGTGTATTATGCTCTTGCCTTAAAAACCAATTTTCTTAGCATTGGTCAACTGCAAGAGAAGGGCTATGTGATCACCATCAAAGAAGGCACTTGTGAGATCAATGATTCGAGAAGAGGAATGATTGCTCAAGTGAAGATGACAAAGAATAGATTGTTTCCTTCGTCAATCCAACTATATGTTCAAACTTGCCCTATTATCAAGGTTGAAAATATGATGTGGCTTTGGCATTTTTGATATGTTCATCTCAATTTCAATGGTTTGAAGACGTTGCACAAGAAGATTATGGTGACTAGTCTCCCAGAAATTGACTCTCCGTCTCAAATTTGTGAAGAATGTATGATTGGAAAGTAGCATCGTGAGTCCTTTCCAAAAGGAAAAGCTTTAGAAAGCTCAGCAACCTTTAGAGCCTGTTCATTCCGACATAGACTTATAAATCCTGCATCGAATGGGAAAAAAGAGGTATTTCATAACATTTATTGATGACTATAGCTGAAAGACGTGGGTATATTTCTTGCAAGAAAAATTAGAAGCATTTTCAACATTCAAAAGCTTCAAAGTTCTTGTTAAGCATGATGTTGGCAAACTTATTAAAGTGCTTCGAACAGATCGTGGTGGAGAGTTCACCTCTCAATAGTTTGCTGACTTTTGTGATATCAATGGCATTCAAAGATAGCTCACAAAATGGTGTATGTAAGAGGAAGAACACAAAAGTCCATTGGTGTCAAGTGGGTCTACAAAATAAAGTTCAATGAAAATGGAGAAGTTGATAAGTACAAAGCACACATAGTTGTAGAAGGCTACAAGCAAGAATTGCAGCTCTATTGGTACTCCAACTGAGCTGGGCTTGAAGCTGACTAAGAATCCTAGAGGAAAGAAAGTTGATGGTACGTTTTTCAAGCAAATTCTTGGCAGCCTCATGTATCTTACATCAACTAGACCAAACATAATGCATGTTGTAAGTCTTATTAGTTGGTATATGGAAAGTCCAATCAAGTCGCACCTTATGGCTGCAAAAAGGATATTCAAATATTTACATGGGACTAAGGAGTATGTTGTTTTATTACAAGAAATGGAAGAGTTGTAATTTGTTGGGTTACATTGATAGTGATTATGCAGGTGTTCTAGATGACAGTAAAAGTACATCAGGCTATGTGTTTAGGATGGGGACATGAGCAGTGTCATGGTCTTCAAAGAAGCAACAAATTGTTAGTTTAGCAATTAAAGTTGGGACGAATCTTGTTCTACATGGAAGAACTAAGCATATCTATGTGAGATTTCATTTTTTGTGTGATCTTTGCAAAGATTGAATCATTGACTTGAATTATTGCAAGAGTGAAGATCAGATTGCAGACATTATGACCAAGTCTCTTAAGTTACCCGTGTTTGAGAAGTTGAGGAAATTGTTAGGAGTGTGTTTTAGGAAGGATCGTCCTTAATGGTGAAGCATCAACAACAAAGTTACTTGGAGACTCTTTCTAAACTGAATTTTGAAGAACATTCAGTTTAAGGGAGAGTGTTATAAATTATTTATGTTATTTGTTATTCAATAATTGTTGGTTCCTATGTTTTAGGAAATCAGTTAGGTTTTACCTATTCAATAGGGTTTTTCTAGTTGTGGGAGAAGTTTGTTAGTATTGGTAGTAGTGGGATGTTTAGTTGTTCCTTTATTATATTAGTCAATTGCTTTGTATGTGTTATTTAAGCTGTGTTTCAGTAAATGAAAATTCACTTCAGTTTAACATAGCTTTCTATCTCTTGTTATTCGAGTTCTCTAAATTTTCCAACAAGAGAGAAGGCATAAATGCAACCGAAAAAAAAAAGGAAACAGAGAGAGAAGGAAAATGAAAGAAAGAGGATAGTGAACTCAGAGAGAGTAAGAAAGAAAGTTTAATTAATTTTTAATAACTGGGACCAAGTTTTTGAGTGTTTTTATTTTTTAAGATTCAACCCATTGGATGAATCCAACGGCTACAATAAATTTGTCTCTCACGGGTCCTCAAAACGAGGACCTCATATGAGCTGCCCAAAAAAGGATGGTGGGTTTCATTTTCCCCCTCTTTTCTTTTGTGCCAGTAAAAATTATGTTGAATTATTTGGAGGTTATTTTTATTTATTGGAATTCTTATAAAAAAAAATATATTTAGAAATGTCATTTGGAGAAGATGATGTGATAGAAAAATAGTATAGGTAAAACAAGTTTGTAGAATTTTTCAGGGAATTTTTGGGAAATCAAATGTATTTTTAGCAAAGTTGTGAATTTTATAAAAATAAAAAATATAGTTTGAAAACATGATGAGCTCGTAGCTACCCAACTAGTGTTGATGAAGCAAATTAGACAACTGAGAGGCGCTTACATCATGTTGACAAAGCACCAAAATGGCATTATATTGACACCTAAAGCTCACACTACAAGACTCGCTCTTGGACCCCGGATGCGCCCGTCAACCCATGAAGTTGTCTAACCCTACATATTACCCTTATGCCCTCATCTGTCGATCTGACGTTATCAACATATTTGGACCAACAACCCTACATGACATTTCGTTTCTCAACAAGGAGCATGGTATTCTTCAAAAAATTTCTCCGACTTTTGATGCAATTTATTTTATAGAGAAAGGCACTAGATTGCATTAATAATTCAGACCTAAAGACTGTCAGCCACAAAGACCAATACAAATACAAATAACTAAAGTAATTAACTTCTAATTACTCTATCAAGTTAGGCGAGTTGAATATTACATGATGCGTGAGAGGTAAGTAAACTATCTCGTTAGTCCACGTTTAAACATGAATCTAGATAAGCTAATAGTAATTTTTGGTTAGAAAGAAAATCTACTAAAAGATGAAAAATACACTACATCAATACACAAAAAACTCAAAACATGGACTTAGTTAAGTTAGCTAGAGCGCATGTGCTTCTTATTCTGCATCCGAGTTCGGATCCCCTTTATTATAATTTAGATAACATTAAAGTAGAATATCGCTTGTTTAAAATCGAAAAAAAACCAAAAAAAGTAAGCTCAAAACAACAAGCCCAACAAAGCTACACAAATAGGCCAAAGGCCCACCCTATAAGCAAACATGAAGTCCAATCCAAACCTAAAGCATGGATTTTCTCAGACTCTAGCATAAGCATGAGTCATTCTATAATGAGGGTTAGGTGAGATCTTATTTCTTAATTGAAATTGTTGAATTAAGTTAATCAATTTGATCCAGCCAATTTGATCCAACAGCTAACTGATACGCCTGATCAAGATACAGAGCAGAGGACATTGGAGAGGAGAAAATGGAGGAGAGACTGAATTCTATTTATGGATGATAATATATTTACATCTATATACTTGATATAACATAAAGACAGGCTCAACTCATCATACAGTACTCAAGGCTGTTTTTTGCAGTTAATAAAAGAAAAAGAAAAAGAGCACAAGATAACAACACATGGTCTGCAGAAGCAAACTAGAAGCTAGCTAGCTAGCGGAGGAGGAAGAAAGTGAGAGTGATTCAGATTCAGAGGGAGGTCTTGGACGCCTCGAGATCGGCAGCCTTCTTGAGAAAGTTTTGGTCGTCGTCCTCAAGAACCATCTGAATAGGGGATGAGCCGAGCCCGTCGGCGATGGCCAGCATAATCTTCTTCATCTCCTCCCTGAACTCCTCGAGATCCACCGTCCCGTTCTGGTCGGTGTCGAACTTGTCGAATATGGAGTCGTAGAGCTGAGTCAGCTGCTCCGGTGGGGTGGCCACGTCGATGCCGAAGTGGGCCTCAATCAGCCTCAGCGACTCGAACGCTTTGCGTAGCTCCGCCCGCGACAGAACGCCATCGCTGTTGAGGTCCAGAGCCACAAACTGCTCGTCTACGCTCTTCTTGAACTGCGCCTCCTCTTTCACGAACTCCCTCACTGTAGTTCCGTCGATTATCACCACGCCCATCGTCCTTTTACTTAATTAATTCCACTATCTAGAGCTTCAACAACAATACTAATTTCACAGACTGAATGAACCACCTCTCCCTATCTGTCTGAAGATTGACTGTTGGTTGGTGGTGGTGTTTGTTTATTTATGTTGTTGAGGCTGATGAAGGAGAACATCAAGAGGTGACTTGCAGCTTGGCACGTGCAATGAGTGCACATAAAAGCATGGATTGGATTGGATTTTGTCGGTATCCTATTCTGATATTCTTATCCAATGTTATATGCCATAAAATTTATTATTAAAAGAATAAATAAATAAAAACAAGTAAATGTAAATAAAATATATTCTAATTCGATCGGTTTAATTAAATTAATAATAATATGTATGCTTCGCTAGTTCTAGATGAAGCGGTGTCTGGGAGAGGCAACTGCCACAATTTGATGATGACGCAATATATATATATATTTATATGTAGGATTTCTAACTTCAATTCATCTATTATTTCAAACAAATATTATAAAAGAATTAATCTTCCAAGGAATATTAAACATTTATGATATGCGTGATAATTTTTTTACTTGGCATAACTTGATTGATCAAGATAACAAACGCACATTATTTCTGTTTCATACATATTTTTCTAGTTTGACTGATAGCAAAATAACTGCAAAAATGGTATGGTTGGTAAAGTTTAACTAATAGCAGCGCAGTGCTCACTTGTAAAACAAAACGGCTGATTTCTGAGCTTCGGAAACCATTTAAATTGAAAATTATTAAAAGTTGCTAGTTAGAAAGAGTACCTCAACTACAACGTACACCCAAACACACAAGATTAGATACTCCTACCTACCTATGAATTAGTAACATCACTAATTAACCAAACTAATTCTATTAATTCCAAAAAAAAAAAAAAAATTATAATTCATTAAGACACCCAAAATTTCTCCATTAATTTACCAAGGAGCTAGGAATTAGGACAGGTCAGACAGACCCCCCTTCTTCCGGAGTCAGACTTGGTCAAAGACCTCAACCTCACTAAGAACTTCATCTTCATCCTCTGGCATTGATCCCCTTCGGCGGCCTTCTTCTTCCTCCCACTCCCCGGCGGCGATGAAGAAACCCAATTCTCTGGAGACCCACCACCCACACCCACCAGCACGCTCTCCGGAGACGACGTTGCCCTCATCATCACCGTCTGATCATCGCATGATGAGTATAACTCCGCTAACTGATCTTGGCCGCCCCCACCACCGCCATCCAAATTAATTCTCGCCTGCATTGCTGACACCACATCCTTCATTGCCACGTCGGCATCCCCACGGTTCCTGAGCAGAATCTCCCCCACCTGGGCCGGCGTGAGGGCCCCACCAGATCTCACGCACCGGTCCACAGCCTCGAACAGCGGGTGCGAGTCCAATCCCAGATAGTTCTTCGCCATTGCCCGGAAGGCGTGGGGTCCGCAGTTGCCGAGGTTGACGTGGACGTCCATGCGGCCACAGCGGAGCAGCGCCGGATCCACATTGTCCCTGTGGTTGGTGGTGAAGATTATGATCCGCTCCTCTCCGCAACACGACCACAGCCCGTCCGTGAAGTTGAGCAGCCCCGACAGCGTCACTCGCCCCGCGTTTTGCTCATCGCAATCCTCGTCCTCCTGCTTCTGCTGCCGCGATCTCACTCTAGCCTTTGATCTAGTACTCTTGGTATTCATGGACAGCCTGAGCTGCTGCCTGTCCGCTGTCAGATCGAGGGAGCAGTCTATGTCTTCTATGACTACGATGGAGCGGTTGGTGGTCTGTATGAGCAGAGCTCTTAGCTCGGAGTTGTCGGAAACCTTGGTGAGCTCGAGGTCGTAAACGTCGTAGCAAAGGTAGTTAGCCATGGCAGCGATAAGGCTGGACTTGCCAGACCCCGGAGGGCCGTACAGAAAGTAACCCCGCTTCCAGGCACGTCCCACCCTATGGTAGAAGTCTTTGCCGTTGGCAAACGCCTTGAGGTCTCCGGTTAGCTGACTCTTGAGTTGGGGCTCAAGAGCGAGGGTGTCGAAGGTGGAGGGGTGGCGGAAGGGGACAGAGACCCAGCCGGAGTCGTAGGAGGCGTGGCCGTTGTTGGTGAAGAGCCTCCTCTCGCGCGAGACACGCTCGAATTCCTCGGCACGGGCAGTGAGGTGGTGGAGGTAGGGGTGGAGAAGGGCGTGGCGGTGGCGCTTGGGGAGCTTGAGGACAAAGGAGCGCTTCTCGTCGAGGGAGTCTTGGACGGTGTCGACGTGGTGGGTCCAGGAGAGGATGTGGCCGCCGAAGGAGTCGCTGACGGAGTGGTTGGGTGCGACGGTGAAAGAGATGCGGTTGGAGGAGTTGGAGCGGGAGAGGGTGAGGCGTGCATTGAATGAGGATGAGGAGGGGTTGGTGGCGGTGACATTAACGTTAACGTTGACGAGGGAGTTGAGGTAGAGATTGACGTGACGGTAGAGATCGTTGAGGTGGACGCCGCAATAGCCGTTGAATTCTGGGACGTCGAAATAGGAGTAGGGGCAGAGCATGTCTTGGAGAGACTGGTACAAGGAATGGAGGAGAGACAGGAGCTGGGAAGGCAGCACATTCTGGAGGACTGTCAGCAGTCCTAGCAAAGACCACAACTGTGACAACATCTCCATAATTATATACTGTTCCCTTGTCTTGCTTGTTTTGCAGCTGACATATATAATCACTCTCAGTCTCAGATTCTAATCAATTATGATATTGTCTCTGTCCACCAGTCTAGTACTAGCTAGTACGTGCGAGATCCAGTTTGAAGACTTGCCATTCATGCATCAAAAAGCATTATATATATATATGGTGAGGGAGGTAAAGACAAATTAAGCAAGGAAGGAACATTTGGGCGAGGTAAGTATAAAGAGAGAGTGTTAATTTAGAAGTGGCTGAAAAAGCGGCAGCAGCAGCAAAGCAAAAGATGAGTAATAAAGATGATGCATGAAGCCGACTGATCTTCTTTTGCTTTTCTCTGTCCCCATTCCCAAGAGTCTTTCATATTCTACCCCTCACTCTCTCAGCTGTTAAAGCCTTAGCTTTATTTATTTGTTTATACTCTTTTACATCCTCAATATTCCTTCATAAGCCAGCAGGATTAGTTAAAGGAAATGCTCTTCTTCCAAATTAATCAGCTGGTCCAGTTAGAGACATACCGACATGCCTGGCGGACGTCTTTTGCTTTTGCATGTTTCCTTCTTTTACGAAATTTGAGTTCTTCCCAGGTCAGAGAATGTTCTAAGAATAATGTTTATGCTTCCTCTCAAACAAAAATTAAGAAATTAAGAATAATTATTCTGATGATTAATTAAGCTCACCTCTACTCATTAGTAAATTATGTCCATAAATGATACGAGTGATTATAGAATACTACGGTAGTACGGTCAAGTGGTACATCTTGTACATGTATTATAATATAAGTGGATATTTATATTTCATAAAAAGAGGGAACATAAGTATTGTCGTCCACTCATATTATCACACGTATACAAGATGTACCATATGATCTGATAATAATCATAGCATTAGCATATTAATATTGGGTCCTCTGGTAATTAAATGAAGTTTAGAATGAACTAGGATGAATTGAGCACCACCGCAAAGGCCAAAGAGCATATATCTTTCCATACCACCAACAAAAGAGAGCATATATGATCTTTTTCTGCTGCACGATAAACCATTAAAAGCTGAATGAAAATTAGATGGACCTTTCATGCATGCATTATACATATATAGCCGATGATGCCTCAAAGTTGAAGCAGCTCATCCAATTTGTTATATATGTCTTTCTTTTGCTGCGGGGAGGAGGGTAGGTATAGGAAAGTGATGGTAATATTCTTTTTTTTCTTGGGCACTAGCAATTCTCCTCTTTACAGGTTACTTTTATATAAAGTCCATTTGCTCTTCTTTTTTCAAAAAATTAATTTGTAAATTCTTTTTAAGAAAAAGTGAGGCCTTGAGCACCATCAGATTTTGATCTAGCGGTGCTTGGCGGTCTCGTATGCATTTTGGCGTGCCTTTTGAAATTAGATAAAGGAAAGAAAAAAGGGAAAGTGAAAAGAGAAAAAGAAATTAAAGAGGTGTTGGGTTGACATAAATACCCACACACCAGAAGGTGGGTAAGGTTAGAGTGTTGATCAGCCTTGCTAGAATCAAGAATAAAGCCGAAATATCCTTATCCAGAAGACAAAAGATAAAATAAAAAAACAAAATAAAGCCAAAATCAAATACGCTCCAAAGCTCCCCCAGAATGTCAAAGCGAAAGAGTGCCTTTAGTTTCATTGAAAAAAAAAGAAAAAAAAAAGGGAGTGCCTTTGGTTCAACCATGCAGTTATGTTGAGCACCCACGTGAATTAAAAGCCTAGTGTCGTATTAGGATGATATACATGTTAAGAATGTTGAATTCAAATTCGATTAGTTTAATAAATGTGAGTTTCTTATCGGGTTCACATGCTAAATGGTAGCAATTAAAAGACATAAAAAAAATGAAGAATAAATAAAGAAACGGGTTAGTGGTTTGGCGGATTACACAAGTATTTTAGCAGATTGACGAGTTACATAGGTATTTTAGCGAGCTAGTGAATTAACCTGAAATCCTCATGTTTATTAAACGGGTCATGACGGGTTGATCTGAAATGAAATGAAAATTTAATTGCGAGGGTTGATGTGCCTTTTTTTTTTCTTTCTTTTTTTTGCGGATTTCGAGTCATGTATCGAGTCGTGTTAGAAATTGACACTCCTAGGCAGAACTAAATTTTTCAACAAGTGGGCTAGATAAAGTTATTAATGAATTATTTATTTATTTATATTTACAGTGTACATAGTTTTTCTATAAATAAAAGTATAAAGTAAATCATATAAACCACACTAGTTTCATTGACTAATTTTTAATAAGTTTTAATATAAAACAAATACATATTAAATGCAACCAAAAAACACATATTATCAACATGAAAATATGTTCGACAACATAATTGAAATTTTATCTATCGAAGTTGTGCCCTATGATCTTTGAGAGAATTAAAATATTTTATTATTGCATATGAATCGATATTATTAGCTAGGGGTGAGCATCGGAACCGAAGAACCTATCAACCGAACTAAACCGGACCCAAAAAAAGGGGAAAAAAACTCTGTTGACTAAAAAGTCAAACCCAATTCAAAAAACCGAACAGAACCGGTTCTAACTGGTTCTTGTTCTAGTTTTATACCCCAACAAACTAAACCAAGCTGAACCGGACTGGCCAAATTAAAAAATATATATAATTTTAATATTTATTTATATCCAATACTATATTTTTAATCTCATAACTAATATTTACCCAAGCTCAATTTCAAAACATCTTTATTTTCTAGCCCCAATATTTATTTTTGTATGAAATAGGATAATTTGTTAATTTTCAAGCCAAAAAAAAAAGAAGTTAAAATTTGTATAAAAAAAATAATTAATAATCCGGTTCAAAACCAAACTAGATCAGAATCGGACTGAAACTAATTCATTTCGAATCGGACAGTTTAATAATTTTTTTTATTAAAACCGGACCAAACGGAACCAAATAAAAAGTACCCGTTTCGGTTCCAATTTGAGGCAAAAACCGGCCCAAATCGAACCATGCCCGCCCCTATTATCAGATAGTTCTTTTTCAATATAGACAATCGTAGTTACTTAGCATATTGGAGGAAAATGAGTGGACTTGGTTGGTGGAGGAGAAGTGAGTCGGACTGTATTTGGAGTCCCAGCCTCCATTGTGTAATAACAGTAAATTGTTTCTAAAATTAGTAGTATTTGTTATGCAATAACAGTTATGTGTTATGATTAACGATAATGCTATGGACACCAAATTTGGGTCCCAAATAATGTGGCATATGCCATGTCATACATATTTAATTAATAATTTTCAACTTGGACTATTATTTTATTTATTTACTTTATGCAGAAAATGAAAAAACTTAAACATAATTAATGAAAACCTGAAGTTTTGTTCCTAAAAAAAATATATTGCTAGCCCTAAACCATCAATTTGCCATCATATCCTTCCCACCACGTTTGCTGCTCATTCTTCTCCTTCTTTTCCTCTCGTGTTTTTAATTTTTATTTCATATAAGGTTTTCTTTTTCTGGTTTTCTACTTACGAGTTTTCTATGATTGTGCTACTTTCTCAGAAAAAATAAAAATATAAAAACATGAGGGAAGAAGGAGAAGAAAGAGCTGCAACATGGTTGGAAAAATATGACGGCAAATTCATGGAGTCGCAACCAAATTGGATTTTCGTTTTAAAAGTCTCAAATTATCCTTGTTTCCAAGATGATGATGATGATTAGAGCCAACACTGGTACAACGACAAGCTAATTATTTGGGTAAAGTGATTTTAATTAATTAAATTTTAATTGTTTAGGGTTGCAGGGATTTTGATTAATTAAGTTATGATTCTTTTAATTTTCTTTTTAAAGTAAATTAGTTAAATTATATTAAGATTTTGATAACTAAAATGAAGAAAAGTTAAATAAAACAAAAAACAAAAAAAAACCCAAGCCCGCCCATTAATCCCGATACTATTCCCATCCCAAGCAATCACCGCCCCCACCCCAGAACCCAGCTGCACTGGCCAACCTCCCCCATCTAACCCCTCTCTCTCTCTCTCTCCTTCCAAAACTTATCAAGACACCCCACCCTCTCCTCCTTCGGCAAACCCAGCAACAGTACCACCGTCACCTTCACATCACCTGATACGAAGCCGCAATATACCATATCCAACCCAAAACCCAGCATGTCACTCTAAACCCCGACCTCATCAGATCTGGCCTTCAACACCGACGAGCTATTGGAGACTCTTTCTCTCCGTCTATGTCGCTCTCTCACTTTCAGAAGTCATTCAAATATGAATGGGTTGGGTTTGATTTAATTTGTTTCTTGGAATTGATATGAATTTTTCTAGTTGTAGGTTTGATTATTTGTTTTGAGTTTGAGTGATGTGAGCAAGATTGGGGTGTGGGGCTGGGACCGCACTAGTTTGGTTGCAAGATTGGGGGTCTGGGAAGGTGGGTGTGGGTGGGGGTGAATTGATGTCGAGTTTGGGTGGCTTGGTTGATGGTTAGGATGGCTGGGTGGCCGAGTTGGTGGTGCCTTGGAGGAAGCAGTCGGGCTGGAGGAGGCAAGAGAGGCAGAGATATATTTTTTTGGGAGTTTCACTAAAACACCCAAAATTGGGGCTTAAATTATAAAAAAACCCAAGCACTATTTAAACATATAAACACACCCAAAATCCATCATTACACACACTCAAAATCCATTTATAAACACACCCAAAAAGTTGACTTTGGGGTTGATTTTGGGTGTGTTTCTATGTTTAAATAGTGCTTGGGTTTTTCTATAAATACATGTCTAGGATTGAGTTTATTTATAAATTTGTATATTTTTTTTCCTTTTCATTTTTGATTTTTTGATTTATTATTTAACTTTCCTAATGTATGGCAAGGGTAGAGTAGGAAGGAGAAGAATAAAAACAAATCAAAATTGATTAAAAAGTATTAAAAAACAAAAGGGAGTGTAAGTGGAGAAAATGGGAGTGGGGAAATCAGCTCCCTTAATTATATATGATTAAATATTATTAATTCATAATTGCTGACGTCACAATGAGGAGAGAAAAGCACCCTAAACTTTAAAAATATTTTTTTTGCAGCAACCAAAATTACCCTATCGTTCTCTTCTTTTCTGCGAAGCCGAAAGCCATCGCAACTCTTTTACAACCAAACAACATACAATCCCAAAATGAAACGACTCACCATTTTCTCACCGAATCAGCATCACACATAAATGACAGGGATGTCTATATTGTGACATACAATCTCAGAAGTGTCACTAACTTATTGCTAGGGATGTCTATCATGTGAAACTTAAGGTGGCGTTGGTATCCTATTCATGTAGGAAATTCACAAATTTTAATTTGTCTTAAAACAATGAGTTCTTGAAAACAATTATAGAAAAAAAATTCTAAAAAAAATATGTTTTCAAGTATTTGGGTGTTTTTAAGTTTAAGTTTTCAAAATTAGGTCAAACATATATATATATATTTTAGTTTTGAACTCAAATTCTGATTTTGAGTTTAAAAAGTTGAATTCAAATGGAATAGCATGCACTTATTTTTGTAGCAGATTCTGTAGCAGCCAGCACATATGCTGCCTGCAATCATTGACGACCCAAACAAAGCAACTAGACCTCGGCTAATCCACTATTGAACAGCAACGGAATTATGTTCAACTTCAGTTCTAAAGATTTACAATAGTTCTCATTAAGGGTGGGCACTCAAACAGGCGAACTGAAAATCCCAGCCGAACCGCACCGAACCAAATCGGAAAAAAATCGAGTTGACCAAAAAGTCAACAACCTGTCAAAAACCGAACCAGACAGGTTTTGGATCCGGTTCCATGTCTTCAAAAACCAAACCAGGCCGAACCGAACCGGTCAAATTAAAAAATATATAATTTCAATATATATTTATATTTAATGCTATATTTTTAATTTAACCCAAAAAAAATATTTATCCAAGTTCAATTTCAAAATATCTCTCTTTTCTAACTTTAATATTTATTTTTATATGAAACTGAATCATTTGTTAATTTTCAAGTAAAAAAATAATATTTCAGTTGAGAATTGTATTAAAAAATAATTTTAACAACATAATTTTTATAATCCGGTTCAAAACCGAACCGGACCAATGCCGGTTCAACCCAAACCGGTTAGTTCTTGAATTTTTTTTATTAAAACCGACCTGAACCAAACCGGATCGGTTCTAATTTGAGGCAAAAATTGATCCAACCCGAACCGTGCCCACCCCTAATTCTCATAGTAAAGCTAAAAATAATACCCATTTCCAGTTTCTTTTAATTAAAAACGTGCTTTTCAAAAATATGCAAATCTAACATGACTTTTTATAAAAAAAATTTATTTTGAGTTCAATGCTTTAGAAAAACTTTATGCTGTACTTTCAAGTGAAAAAATTGTAACCCTAGAACCAAAGAAAATGAGAAATGAATAATGAAGTTTTTTTTTTTAGGAGATTCACTATTATACCCAATATAGGAGTCCAAATTATACAAAAGACCCTATATGAAATGAGTTTTAAAAACACACTCAAAACCCATTTACAACATAACAAAAATACTTTTAACTTTTTTTAAATTATAAAACTGCCATTGATTTCTTAAAACAAACCAAACCCCAATATCTCATAAAAAAACCCAAAACACTCAATAGAGCATCAAAGTGATTTAATAATTAAAATTAAATTCAATAGGGTCAGCTTTTATTTTTTGGGTTTGTTTATATAAATTAAATAGTGTACGGTTTATTTATAGTTTTAGTGCTAAGAATGAGTATATGACTAAATATCTTTTTTTCCCCCTCCAAATAAGCTCTCTAAAGGTTTTTGTATAAATGTCATGTTAGAATGGGCAAAATTGTGAAAAGGTTAAAAACAAAAAAGAACCCCTAGAAATACTAATCTAACAGTGTTTAGAACCTCTCAAGTTTTTGTACTTGAAAGGGCTGTTTCTTCAACATACCTGCCACATACCTCAAACCACAGAAAAAGAAGGATAACCAGCGTCAGAACATTTTTTTTATTTTTTATTTTTATGGTCGAAACCAGCATCAGAACATAATTGAAGGATTTATATACACAATTTCAGTACTCATTTTATAAGTTCCATGAATATTCCAACTCTTATAAAAGAAATTCCATTGTGCCCCAAAAAGATTGTCAATACAACTGAACTGATGTTGGAAAGTTGCTGAACATAAGGAACAAGGGGAGGTAAAAATTAATAAAACAAAAAGAAATACAAAAGAGAAACAAGTGAATCAGTAAGAGAATACATCCATCAGTCATTTTTCTTTTCTTTCCAACCTCAGCGGTAGTAAGAGCCATTGTGGTGGCAGGTTAATGCTGAATGGAATTTTTGAATTCCAGGATATCAAATTTATATTGAAGAAGCATCGTTAGTGAATCCTGAAACACACCATATGCAGAATAACTTCCTGAAGAAAAAGACCACCATGCAATATCTTTTGGAGGCTGTATAGGCAAAGGCTTGACCACCAAGCAATTTTTGGGCCTCCTTATTTAAAGCTAGAAACATAATCTGTGTCCATCTGTGTGAAACAAGAACCATATTAGTGGTCATAGACAAGAGTAGTTAAAAGAAGATCCAGCTTAAAACTTACAGATTTGGAAAGCTCTTTAGCTTTCTCGTCATCAAAACCTAGGGATGCCAAGATCTTGTGACCTGCTGACTCTTTTTCAGACCAAATCCCAAGAAGCAGATGAGTTACTGTTATTTCCCCATTTTCTCCTGCATTATAGAAGACAATCTCAATAACAAGTAACGATTAACACAAAACCCCACATCCAACCACAGAATTATGCAGGTACAGCATATATGTCTAGATGGAAAGGTGGACGCTTATCCTATGGGATATACTAATGGCGATCTTACCAAGAAATAACTGTATGCAAGAATATAGTTTAAAGTAGTAATAGAAGATTATGACATTCCTAGATTTTAAAGAACCACAAAATCACCATCTCTAGAGTTTCTGAACATAAATTTACACAACCTGATTTTAGCTTCTGATCAACAGCCCAGTCAAGGGCCCTCTGAGCTGGTTCAGTCAATGGAGGATGCTCAGGGCTGAAAAAGTACAGGTCTGATTTTCCAAGTAAATTTACAGTTTCATCTCGAACCTTGAAAAGTGTAATTCCATTAGCTCTAAGAAACTTTGCAGCTAGGCTTGTTCCTGAAGTAAAAAACAATGCATTCAAATAACATAAACACAAAACAGAGAACACTAAACAAACATTGACAGAGCAGCAAAGTACATAGAAGCCATTGAATGAGCTGCCAGGTGAGTTTCTAGCATGACATAACTCTTGAAGTAACCAATTTACGACCCTGTGAACCAAAGCCCATCCAGATAAGTTCTAAATGGCAACAACATCTCACAGTAGAAATATGACTTCAAACAGTATGAAAATACGTCTGTTAGTCCATGACAAAGACTTTAAACATAACATTTTAAAACATTATAGCTTTTCCTCTGTGGTTTTTTTCCATTAATCCAAGATACAGCATCATCAATTCAGGAACCATTAATCGCAAGTTTCTCAAACACACTTTACTCTTAGCAGACGAATTACTCAGACAGGAGCCACTTCTACAAGGACCAAGAAATACGTATTTGCTATTGTTTATGAAGGAGAGCTATTACCATCGCTTTTAACATTTCATAGAAGAAAGAATAAACATGAAAGCACAAACACAAATTAAAACGAGCTTGAAACAAGGTTACTAACCCTCAACCAAAATCCCCATTAGAAGTGCTTCGGTCCCAGTATTGGGATATTTAAGCTTCCGCGCTTCCAATTCAGCCATAGCAAACGACTTTATGGCTCTGGCTGACCATCTTAACACCAAAGTACAATTAAGAACTCACTCAAAAGAAAGCATATAGCCACACACAAACACACGAAATGCAATGAAACTAAAAACTCACTTCGGGCTTTTCCCATTAGAATTCCTATCGGGTTTCCTGGAAAATAGAAGTGATCCAAAGCAACTATCATCAGCGAAACCTTTAGATGGACATTAATTAAATACAAAACCAAGAGTTGCATACAATTAGAAACCTTACGCTGTTGGAAGGCTGAACAGGACCGTGGCGACCGCCGTCCTATGCTTTGAAGCCAAGTGATTTAAATTCGAAATTCGAATTGAGAGCTTTTTGCCCATAAAAGTGGTGGATAGGTTGTAGGGGGGAAGATTGCAAGGAAGGGACGGAGAAGAAGCGCTAGGGTTTCTGTGGGGTTGAGAGGTAGAGGGTGAGATTGAGAGCGCTGAGAGCGCTGAGAGCGTGATGGAGGTGGAGGCCATGTTTTGCGCCCAATTATGAAAAACCCTAGCGGGGTTTTGGTGGTTGGCTTCAGAGTGCTTGAGCTTCAGCCTTCAGGGGAAACTGGGAAAAATGAAAAGATTGGTTGGATCGATCTTAACGGCTCAGAATTCGAAGGTCACGTTTTATTACTAAAATGCCCTTCGTATAAATAGAGCCGTAATGACCAACTCTATTCTTGAAAATTTTCATTTTCTGAAAGCAACTTTTCTAATGTTTTCTCGCGCCCTGGAATTCTCCCCCGCTTTTCCTCCCTCCCCCTCCCTCTCCTCCGACCACGTCACTGCAACTCCTCCTCCTCCTCCTCCTCCTCCTCTTTTTTTCTTTCCATCTCTCTCACTTAGACGTCGGCGTGACGGGAGATAGATAACTTTCAGGTTTCCAATGCTGCGACACACACGCCTCCATCTCCACCTATGGCGACACAAATCGCATCCCAGCTTCTACTTAATGCGAGCTCTCCAGCAGCGGCATCTCCCTCAACCACGCCCTCACTGGTAATTTTTTTCTTTTTTAATTGTTATTATTAATATATATTTTCATTTTTCGTGATTGATCTTCATCGGGCTATAAGATTTGGTGACGGAGGTCTGACATTATAACTGAAAGGTAACTTTGAGTGTTCTAGAAATGAGATACCAAATTGGCATTGAGTGCAGACTTAGAGGAGGGGCTAAAACAAAATTTGCCCTAAATGTTAAAATATTAAAACACAACATGCTAACATGCCATTTGAGTCAAACTAAAATTGACCCCCAGAAAACGATGATCCTTTTGAATGTTATCTTCTCCTTGCTCTTCCCATTCCTATCCTCCTTACTGACTTATCCCTCGCCAGTGGCTATTGACAACTGATGCGGGCCCGGGCCACTAAAGGCGACAGTGTTGATCTCGATTTCTCCATGCCCAGTTGGCTGGTAAGGAGTTTTTTAGAACAATTTTACTGTTGCTTCTGGTTACCCTTATTTTCGTACTGATTAAGTTTGATGTTTTCTCCTTTCATGCTTTCTCTGTGTTTCAATTTTGGCTTATTGCTTATGGTTGCTTTTGACTTGCTCTACATCATTTGTTTTATCAGTTGGAGTGTTAAATTTGGCATTTCTATTGTCATGTTTCAATTCAGGTAAAATTAAAAATGTTGTTTGGTGGTTCTGCAACATACAGAAGAATAATATGGAATCTTAGAAAAATTGGTGGTTTGGTTTTGATGGAGTGACTTTTTTCTTGACTTGGTGTGATTTGCATGAAGCATTTTTACTCATAGGATTCTCTTCTTAAAAATATGGATGACTTAGATTAAAATATAACGAGGCCCATAATAATTAGTGCCAAAGAGAGAATCTGAGTCCTAAATTTCAATTGTAGGCTACTGTATGGATAGTTGCTTTTTTATTTTTTGTATGAGTTGTTTCTGATATGGGCTTTGATGATTAGGTTTGACATTCACAGTGATGTCTTTGCCTCTGATTAGGATGCTTCCCTCCCCTCGGTTCATCACCATCAGGGCCTTTGTAAACGCCAAGGTAAAAATGGGTTGGAGACCCATACTTGGACTGTGCAGTTTAAAGACAGAAATACCTTAAACGATCCATTTCCTTCAAGAACCAAATCATTTCCAACCCTTCCAAGTCCCTCCCTCTCTCTGCAGCCTCTTAACTCAAGCCCCACCTCAACCTCCCTACCACATCCTCCAAATTCTTCGAAAAATACCCCTCATTCTTCTCCATATTTCAGCCCTCCCCTGGTCTCCCACCTCATGTTAATCTCACCCCACAAACCCTCTCACTCCACAAAGTGGAGTCAACCATTCATACCTCATTGTCTAACAAATACAATGTCATTGAACGACTTGCTAAGCTTTTGATGCTAGCCGGAGTGACTAAATTGCCCATGCACCTAATTAACAGGTTGAAATGGGATATGGGTCCTCCTCATGATATTGTGGGTACCCTTGATGATTTTTCTGATTATTCTGGGGCTTTTGGAGTTGAGGATGTGGTAACTGGTAAAGTAGAGATTGGTTTTGGGTCTTGTATGTTGGAGAGAGGAGCTTGCTTTCTTTCTGTTTACACCATAATCAACCGAGCATGTCCAGTATCAAAACTACTGGCACCAAGGCAGACATGGCTTCCCTCCTGCTTAAGTATCCCAAAGTGACGCACAGAAAAATACCTAGGTGACGTCAACACCTTCTAACATACCAAAGGAAGACACTGTTCTGAAGCGGCAGCAGCCTGCTGAAACTCCTGACTGCTGAACTTAATTTCCAGGGACACGAGTCACCTCCACAGCGGCTTGCACAAAGTCCCACATCGAAACTTTGTGCAAAACTCCCATTTTCACTTCCCTATAAATAGGGAACAGTGTCCAAGTAAACATGGTAACTATGTTCTTATATTTACTGTTACTCTGTTAAAATTACCACATATAGCTGACTTAAGCATCGGAGAGCCTTCGGCAGACACCACATCGGTGTTCGAAGCTTGACGACTGCTTCTTCCTCCTTGTCTTCTGTAGATTCTCCAAATTTCGAAGGTCCTCACATTCTCCTCTGTTGATGATCCAACACTTCTCTACCTAAGTTGACCCTCCTCGAAAAAAAGCATCAATAGTTTGGCAAAGGACCATGGCTTCGACAGGAAGGATTTTGGTGAAGTTACTGGGCCTTTAACAGTCCCTACCATTCGGCAAGGACCCATCGTGGGGCTTTGCATGGGTTTGTCTCAAGCTTCGGTTAGGGGAAGGGCCACGGTGGGCTTCGGGTTTGTCTCGAGCTTTCAGCTTGGATTTCGAATTGTAAGGATTTTGGTGAGCATTTTCTTGCTTCAGCATAGGCCTTGCCGTTCAGCAAGGAGCAAAGATGGAGGTTGGACCTTCGGTAAGGAACTATTGTGAATATTTGGTATGGGCTTCTACAAGGACTTGGAGCTAGCCTTCTAGGGCTTCAGATAGGGTTCTACCGAATAGGGATTTTTGATAAGTGCCGTTTGGCAGGGTTTGGGGAGAGAAAAGAAGTCCAGTGTCTTTGTTTCGAAAGAGGGATTTTTGAGTCCTCGTTGCGCCTCTTTGTTTCAACAGACCTTGCCGTTCGGCAAGGGACCTCGGGGGGAAGATCGTTATTCCTCTTGTTATGTCGGTAAGGGATCGTTAAGGAAGAAAAAAGAAAAGAAAAGGGAAGGGAGTCCATATCTGAAGCACGAGATCTGGTGTTCGGTAGGTGCTTCGAACATAGAGATTCTGTAAGCACCTTCAGCACGTTTCGAAGGAGGTTGTCTCGCGAGTTTTTGAAGGTTGGCTTATCCGGCAGGTTAGATTTAGAAGGGGATTAATCGCGATTTAGATTTTTCCTTATCCTTATCGTTTAACAAAGGCCTTCCGGTTGGTGGACCGTGAGTTCTTGAGTATTCCCTAGCACTGTGAATTTGAAAGGAGAAAAAGATACGAGTTCTTCATAGGTTTAGGCCAAACAGTTTTTGTGCCTTTGTTGAAAAGCCACGGCCTCGGCAAGGAGACTGAGCCCTTGGGTTTTGTGGGCTTCGGCAATGAGGCAGAGCCTTTGGGTTTTGTGGGCTTCGGCAAGGAGGCTGAGCCCTTGGGTTTTGTGGGCTTCGGCAAAGAGGCAGAGCCTTTGGGTTTTGTGGGCTTCGGCAAGGAGGCTGAGCCCTTGGGTTTTGTGGGCTTCGGCAAGGCTCGTTCATAACCTATAGTGTGTTTGCTAGGGTTTGCGAAGTTGAGGAGTGCGAGTCCTCCTTGCGCCGGTACTAATGTCTTATTTGGCAAGGTTTTGTCGGGATAGGGGTCGCGAGATTTCGCAAGTCCCAGCATTGTGGGTGAACGGAGGAAGGAACCCGAGTGCGTCACAGCTTCGGCATGTGTATGAGTTCAAGTCCGATCTGAATGACATTTGGTGCTAGATCCTAGGAATTCAAGTCCCCTGAAGAGAGGTATTTTCGTGACCCTTTCGTTTCCTCTACACAGGCCTTACCGTTTGGCAAGGCTAGTTCGAATTTGTCTTTTTTTTTTTTTTTTGGTTTTATTTTTGTTTTGTTGTTTTTTGAATTTTGAATTCTTTGGATAAGGTGCACGAAATTCGAGAGGGAAGGTGAAACGGTGCTAGGGTTTTTGCGTAAGTCGAGGAGTCGGTACCTTGGAGCCTTTATAAATAGGGTCTTTGGGTGGAGAAGTTAAAACACTTTGTGGCTTGTTAGAAATTTCTTTGGAGAGTGCGAGGGGAGATGAGGTGATTTCCGGCGTGATATTTGGTGGTGGTGCGATGGTCAAAGTGATTTCCGGCATCCTTTCTATGGTGGTGCAAACAAGGTTAGATCTCATTTCTCTTGAATGTTTGGATTGAAATGTCTTATTTGGTATGAACATGTTGACTATGAATATGAACTTGTTGAATGTCGTACATAGAGAAAAGAGCATGTTGTTGTGTTTCAATCCTTCTTACATGTGGATTAGTTCATTTTTCTTGGTTCTGCATATTGTAGATGTCTGAGAGTTCGGGTAAAGAAAGTCAGGACCCTCTGCCTTTGGTGGGTAAGAGACCAAAAGTGACGAGCTGAGCCTGTATGTATGTTCTGAAGATGAGAGTTCCCAATTAGAGTATGTGGTAGAAGGTGTGATAGAGAGTAGAATGGTAGAGCCTGAGGGTAAGAGGAGGAGCCATTAGTGGATTCTCGGGAGGCTGAGTATAGGGAGATGCATAGGAATTACAGTGTGTTGGAAGCAGTGGTTGATCGGGTTCTGGCCATCCCTTAGACACCAGAAGGGGGCTTGAGCAATCAGGCAAGACTATCGGGGTATGTGGATGTAGTCGTGGCTTCCGCTTCGGAGGGGTTGGAAGTACGGGTTGGTGTTCCGTTGCCGAGGAAGAATACATAAACAGAGGTAAAACTGGCCAAGATTCGGTCAGCTTATAGTGTCCCGCCGTCGGTGGGTTTGGGGCTACCTACTGCGGCGGATGTGGTTAGATATCCTCCAGAGGAATGTGTGCTTATTTTTATGGATATGTATAACCATTGCTTCAGACTACCATTTCATCCGTGGGTGCAGATGATGTTGGCCAAACTAGGATATGCGTCGGGGCAATATAATCCAAACTTATGGATTTTACTACATGGGATATATATTGCTTGGTGGTTGGCGGGA